AAAAGGTAATCCGCATAATTTACCTTCCAAAATCAAGGCTGTATACAAATCACGTGAACTTCGTGCCAAAAATAAAATAATTATTTGCTATCGAAATAATTCGTCTTATTATAAATATTTTTTTTCTACAGTAAAAAGTTTAATAATTAATTTCAGACCATCTCCAAAGCTGGTGTTGATCATTCTACAACTTTGTCGGGTAGCTTTACCATTAATGGATGCCTTAGACTGTGAGCAGGTACAATTACCAAACTGGGGACACAGTCTAGTGTCTAGTCATTGGAGTACGACCAAACCTATCTCAGATCCGCCGGCTAAAATTGTCTCTCTGCTTTTAGCTAGACTTGGTGACTTTTTGGTTCCAGGTAAGAAAATATATTCAAAGTTTAAGCATATATTTAGCTTTATAAAACTTGTACATTGTACTGTACGATTTTTGTTTAAGTAAAATTACGCTCCTTTTTTCACTGTCATGTTGAGTTGAATAGGTAATTTATTTCAAGAGATACAGGATAATAATGGTGATTGATCAATAATAATTGATAATGTAAAAAGTTTAGGATAAAATATAAAAATTATCCTTAATTATAAATAAAGACTGCCCCACTCTTTTTGTGTCGCCTCTACGGAGTAGTGGCGAAATATAGGGATCACTTCTCCGTCGTCCATCTGTCTGTCACAAAACTTGTCCGGACTACTCCTCATAAACTACTGGTGCAATTTCATCCAAACTTTACAGGAATGATCAGTACCAAGTCTAGTTGTGCATATTGTCAGCATTTTCAGGTTCAATGATTTTTGCCAAGAGTTATGGCCCTTTAATAATTTTTATTTTTAAAGTTTGTCCGGTCTACTTCTCTTATACCACTTATGCAATTTCAATGAAACTTTACAGGATTGATCTGTAGCTCAAGTCCTTGCACATAATATTGCACGGGTTTTCCGGTTGAATGATTTTTGGCCGAGTTATGGCCCTTTGATAAAAAGGTGTATTTTTCTGTGTGTTGCTAGATACACAAAAGCTTGTCCGGACTACTCCTCATAAACTACTGATGCAATTTCATCCAAACTTTACAGGAATGATCAGTACCAAGTCTAGTTGTGCACTGTCCATCTGTCTGTCTGTCACAAAACTTGTCCCAACATGAAATTGGCCATCATGAGGCGACACATGTGATCACTGATCGCTCTTGTTTATAACTGAATGTCACTGATACATTCTAAATGATTTCTCTAGGTCACATGTATTATTGAAACAATTCTTTTGCACAGTAAAATAGATAGTTGAATACAATTATGGCAAAATGTACCGTTATTTTGTCTTTTACCTGTGCACTCGCCATTTACTCTTGGTTGGGCCATAATGTGACTTGTAACTTTACAGGACCACACACTGGGAATAGCTTAACTCTAACTACACTTAATATTATGAATGGATTAGTCCATCTTTCAGTCTAGAAAAACCATTTTTTCATTTTTATGGAAAATTCCAAAATATGTATTGACTGAAAAGAGTGAACAGTGTGGCATTAGCTTATTTCTTTCCTATTGGCATAGCTTTTTTAAGGTCAATTTTAATGAATACGCAGATTAAATGACAAGAATCGCTTACTCTTTTTTTTTTGCTGGGTAGTTAGCAAGACAAGAACCCGGATGAAATTACTTTTTACCTCCTTGCAGAATGCCCGAAGAGATAAAACTCTTGTAACGACTTATATTTACTGCCGGGACAGTAAAAGAAACATGAAACAGCAGAGCTATGATGTGCTTAAAACAAGATTTGGAATACGAAAAAATTCTTGATAATCCTCGTAGTGAACAGTGTAAGAACAAGTACAATTTGCTTATCAATTTATGATTGTTTTTTTTATAATCCAGGTGATGTGGAACTGTTGCAATAGACAACGTGCTATTGATGCAGATATTAACAAGATAAAGGACCAGGTGCTGAAGTTGCCATCAGAATGGCCGTTGTCCGTCTTTGTGCACAAGCGTGATGACCAGTTTTCACATGAAGTCATACAGCCTTTACTGAGGTAATTGTATAAATACTGTGTGTGCTTGTATACATTTATTTATTCCTGAAATAAATTATGGGGAGCACATTTAAGAAGTCCGGAAGTGATTTTACTTTTTGGAAGATAGATTCTGATACAGAAGTGTTTGGTTTTCTGAACAAACAAAATGTAAACCACTATAACAAAAAACCTTGGTCTTTACCCCTAAACCTTCTCGATTTCTTGAATGGACTTTTTTCGTCTTCCTTTTCTTTGAATTGTCTATTATCAAGTTTGGGGATATTATCATGAAAATTTAATGTTAGCAAAACTGCATGGATGATGTTAAATTGATGTAAGCTCTATTTTTAAGACTGTGATATATTTTAAGTATACTTGTTTTTTCACAGTTGTATAATTTACATGTAATATTAATTTGTTTACAGTTTTATGTACCACCACACAATGAAGACCACTTTGGTCCAGTCCCGATGGTGGTCTTAATTGATGGTTTTTAACCAGGTTTTCCGAAGGAAAAAACTGGTTATTAGATTGAGGTATGTCGGCGGGCGGATGGGCGGACGGGCGGGCGGGCGGGCGTAAACAATTTCTTCTGTGCGCAACTCCTCCTACATTTTCAACGGATTTTGACCAAAAAAAAACTTTCACAGAAGCTTTGTCATCAAGTGACCTGGCGCATTTGTCGGGGTTTTTGTGATTGGATAATATTTGACCTAATTATGGCCCTTTGTTTTTTTTCCTTATATAGAATATATAGTGAATAATTTCTTCTGTGCCCAACTATTCCTACATTTCTCAATGGATTTGACCAAACTTTCACAGAGGCTTTGTCATCAAGTGCCCTGGCGCATATTGTCGGGTTTTGTGATTAGATAATATTTGACCTAATTATGGCCCTTTGTTTTTTTTTCCCAATATAGGATATATAGTGAACAATTTTCTGTGCGCAACTCCTCCTACATTTCTCAATGGAATTTGACCAAACTTTCACAGAGGCTTTGTCATCAAGTGCCTTATAGCATATTGTCAGGGTTTTGTGATTGTATAATATTTGACCTTATTATGGCCCTTTGTTTTTTTTCCTTATACAGATTATATAGTGAACAATTTTTACCATGCACAACTTCTCCTACATTTCTCAACAGATTTTGACCAAACTTTCACAGAAGCTTTGTTATCAAGTGCCCTGGCGCACATTATTGGGGTTTTGTGATTGGATAATATTTGACCTAATTATGGCCCTTTGTTATTTTTCCTTATACAGAATATATAGTGAAAAAATTCTTCTGTGCTGAACTCTTACATTTCTCAACGGATTTTGTTCAAACTTTCACAGTAGCTTTGTCATCCAGAACCCTGGCGCATATTGTCGAGGTTTTGTGATTGAATAATTTTTTATTTAATTATGGCCCTTTGTTTTTTTCCTTATACAGAAGAACACTTCCTCTGTGGCAATTCCTCCTACATTATTCATGTTTTACATTGCACATAGTTACATTGTTTGTTGCTTGTATTTGTATTTCAAATACAACATATTTATCTACAATGGTGATAATTGAAAACCTGGTTTCATGGCATTGCCATGTTTCTTGTTACTGTATATAAATGCTTCAGTGTGTTTGTGTATGTATTTTTAGTTCTGACAGCCGACCATTTAAGCTTGGTCCTGGTTCTAATGTTGATAAAGTTGTGAGACTGGACAGGGAAATGACAAAGGTAGGTTTTTATAATTGGATTGTTAAAGGTATATTTAGATGTAATAAAAATTGATTTTACCTTGGTAGTTTCATTGAAGCTAAATAGCAGCAAAAGTGGGAAGACTTACTATTAGTATTAAACAAAAACAATATTCTGTAAATTTATGTTTATACCTATAGATGACACTCAATCTTGAATCAAATTTAAAGCTTATTGAACAATTCGCATTTTGCTTTTTAGACCTAAACATCATTGGTGTCATATAAGAAAACATGGTTGTGAGACTAGTAGGGTCAGGCCCTGTTTTTTGGGGGGGGGTTTCTTTGTACTAATTTAAAGCGCTGTGCAAAGCAATTTATCCTCTTGACTAGGCTACCTGTACCTCTTTTCACTACACCAAACATCCATTTAAATTAGACAACTTAAATCCAAAGTCTTTTGTGGGATTTGAACCCACAGACAGACAAGCAAGTGGTTTGAATATAACAATCTTAACCACTCCGCCACAGACTCCCTTAGACCTATTCTACCACTCTGTTTGTTTGATCTGTGGAACTCTGATGAGATTTATAGTCATGGTCCACTTATTTTACCTAAATTTTTCTCTTAAACAGAGTAACAAAGCCGAGGTTGTGACAGAGGATGCCCTATCTGCTCTTAGGAAGGCTGCGAAATGGGCTCAGATGGGGTTGGTTGTATCGACGGGTGCCCCTGTAGACTCTTCTCCCACAGAAGTGACCTCAGGAGACAAAAAGAAAACAGATAAAGAAGTTATATGTAAAGATAAAAATGCTGAGCTTGCAAGGTATTGTAGTTACTGTACTTGGGAACTGTTTATTGTGTAGAATATATTACAAGTTTTATGGACCGCTTGGTTAAGTATCGTTATTCTCTCCAGGAAGTGACTGAAATTATGTTATTACAGAACCATATAGATCATCTAGTGCAAATTCACACCAATACAGTGAATTAAATAAACAATTGTGATACTGCAAAATTATGATGGTCACTAATTTTTGTGTGTTTTTTTGTGTTTTTTTTTGCGGATATATCAATCCACAAATCTAATAACCAATGAATATGTAGAAAAAAAAAAAAAAAAAAAATCATGCCAATGGATTTAAGTGAATTCACGGTACTTTAAAAATTGTTTGGAAAACCAAATTGTTATGTGAAAATAAGTGAATTAAATTCCTGCGGTTATTGAAGTTAAGATACACTTTGATACGATTATGAACCAATCTTTACTTAAGTTTTGTGAAATTTAGCAAATTTAGTGATGAGTTTTATTTATCAAATTCATCTGAATGCCTAGCTTTTCATTCATACATTTCTATGTGTGTTTCTATAAAACTTGTTACTATTTATAGGACTGACCCTGTGCGACCTTTTATTAGTGGTCATGTAGCCAACAGTATGGCAGCTGAAGTGATTGAACTATTACATGGACTGTTAAACAGTACTAACCATCACACAGCCTCGGAGAAATCCTGGTCAGATGCTGTTCAACGGGTGAGAACAATCTTTATAATGATAGTTGTTGGTCTGATACTTAAATATTACATATATTGTCACCTTAGTGCAATAATGGGTTAAGTCCTTCTAAATTTAATAGGAGTTAACCAGTTTTTGCACAAAGGTGATGATATGTAAAGTAAAAGATATGTTACAGTTTTAATCAGTACCAAGGACATCTACGTAAATACCCATGCTGCTTTCGCGATTTCTGAAAGGCATGCTAAATGGTAGAGTTACATTTAAAGTATGTCAGTGAAAAGGTGATTTTTTTTTCTACTGTAAACAGTTTTAATTTAGATATGTGATGACTAAAATATAATATTCATGTAGCTTTATAAAGAAATTCAATGAACATGTTAAGTAATATGATATTATGCTGGCTGAATATAATTTTATTCAACTTATTGAATAATATAGTACACTCATTCAATATCCTCTATATATTACTATGTTGTATGTTTTGATTAGAATTATTGGACTGCGAAAATTATTGTGAGAATAAATGGTAGAATATTTCTTTATTAGATCTCTAACCAATGCAATGACTGGTTAACTAGTTACAATTCCCATTTTTCTAGTATTTACCAATGTAATGACTGGTTAACCAGTTGCATTTCCCATTTTTCATGTGTTAACCAATGCAATGACTGGTTAACCAGTTACATTTCCAATTTTTTCAGGTGTAACCAATGCAATGACTGGTTAACCAGTTACATTTCCCATTTTACAGCTGTTAATGTAATGACTGGTAAACTAGTTACAATACCCATTTTTCAGGTGTTAACCAATGCAATGACTGGTTTACCAGTTTTGTTGAACTCAATAGACAGTCTAAGTTCTCCTCGATGTCACAGTCACCAGTTGATGTCAATGGCGCGACAAGTTAATGCAGCTCTGTGTGCATTAGGTGGTTTCCAAGAAATGATAAAGCCAGGCTGCAAAGTAGAGGTGAGTGTTTTACTTTCCTGAAAAAAAAACCCACCTATAGTCCTGTTTGTTCACATGATTCACAGCATCTGAAAGTTACAAAGTACAAGTTGCAATGTGCATGTGCTTTAAATGTACTTAATGGTCTTTTATCAAGGTCTATTTATTAGTGAATATTCATTTGAATTGGATTTGTAACTGAAAAAGTTTGTTACGACCACTGACAAAGAAATAAATGCTACTCAGCACTGTAGGTTAGAATCCTGACATGGATGCTGATTTCTTTCATGTGTAGATTATATTTGCCTTCTAGATGGAAGGTCAGTGGGTCTACTGAGGTGCCTTGTGGGTGCCTGAACTATTATTATAATTATAGAGGTACATCAGTGGTCTTGTCCATCTTTAGAAGAGGAGAGTTGTTATTTGATGTTAACAGTATCTTTGTGACTTCAAAGTAAACTATAAATGAAATTAAGTCTGTTATTGTGGTTGTACCCTCTATTTATAGTGCTATTTATTGACACCTTGCAGGTCTAGTTATAGTGCGTAAATTGAGACCTTGCTCATCTTTTTATAGTGCTTAAAATTGAGACCTTGCTGGTCTATTTATAGTGCTTTTGATTGACATTTTGCTGGTATATTTATGTTTAGGTAACTGGTGAGGTGGAGAACTCCACGGGAATAGTGGTCAGTATGTCCCAGCAGACTGGAATGGTCTCTATTGAGTTAGATCCAGACCCTGAGGGTACATATTCCCCGAGGTACTCTGACACTGTCCAGGTGCCATTTAGTAGAGTACAGCCATGTAGAAATAGAGTAAGTAATTTTCATGCACCCGCCATTTTTATGGCGGGGGGGCATATAGTGTTATCCTGTTCGATCATTCTGTCATTCCGTCATCATCAGTTTCTGTTCATTATCTTAGTAACAGTTGCACACATTCAACTCAATTTTGACATATTGATATATCATGAGAAAGTACAGGACAAGTTCGAATTCGGTCATGGTTAGATGATTTTTGCCTTTAACTTTGAAAAAAAAGGAAATTTTCTGTTCCCTTTCATTATCTTCCCAACAGTTTTACATATTCAACTCAAATTAAACATATGGATATGTCATAAGAATGCATTGGTCAATTTCAAATTAAGTCATGGTTTGATGATAGCTGACAGAGTTATCCCTCTTGAACTTTGAAAAAAAAATCAGAAATTTTTAGTTTCCGTTCATTGTCTCCCCAATGGTTGTACACATAATGACATTCAACAAAAATTTGACATATTAAGATACATCTTAGGAATAAGCAGTGAAAGTTTGAATTTGGTCGTGGTTCAATGATTTTGGACAAAGTTATCTCTCTTGAATGTTGGAAAAAATTTGAATTTTCAGTTTCAGCACTCATACTTTTGTGGAAATTTATGTAGCCATTTTTTGGCTACAAATATGCAATTTACAAAAGGTTAACACTGAATAGTTTCAGTGCCTTGAACTTTGTATAAAAATGGTTTGTGTTAACATTTTTATGATTTTATAGTTTTAAGGGCTTTGAACTTAAAATGAAAAAAAATATTTGTGCAAACAAATTTGGAACTAAATATTATAACATCTGAAATCTTGGCTGCATGCGGGGGCATCCATGGCGTGACACATTTCTAGTTTTATCAAGTTTGCTCAAATTAATATTATTTGCCCCATTTAAAGGACTGCTTGAGCTGAAAATAGAAAAAATCAAGTAGTGTGAGTTGATCTGCTTTACTTACCAGATGAACAGTAACAATGAACTTGGGGCATTTGTGAAAGGTTCCTATCATTTTTACTTTGAAGAAAAAAACATTCAGTGTCTGGAAACTTTATAACTAGAGAGGAAAGTTGAAATTAAGCTGAACTTGTCTTTCTACAAGTTTATTTGAAAAATTTATTTCTATCATCACTGAAAAACAGTTGTTTCTGGTGAGCGATTCAGGGCCATCATGTCTTTCTTGTATGAACTTCTAGGTATATAGGCAATGGCTAAAGAGGATTTATCAATAGACTTTTATTTTATTCATGCACAGAAGTATAAAAAAAGCCATTAAATGAAAATGAATATTACACTAGTGTAACCACAATTTAACATGACATCATCAGTGTTCAAGTTTACGGCTGAAACATATTAATTAGCAAGTGCTCCCTTAGTTTTGGGCCAACCTATCAACGGTATCCGCCAACATCGGCGGTCGCTGTCGTCAATATGTTTTAACATAAGAGACTATTCCATTGCTATGCAGGAAAATGTTACCTTTAAAAAGGTAATATACATGTACACATGGAAATTATGTGCAAAGATATAAAAGTATTGAAATAAACCCTTATCCATTGCTTAATTTAGTATTAGATATGAAATAGATGTAAGTAATCAGCAGTCTCTTTTCCACATTTTTTCAAGACTGGAGACCATTGAAGACTGTAGACTGTCGATTTGCAGGCTCTTCAACATAACAAATTTAACATGACTGTAAATGTTTTATTAAGTACTTCAATATTATTCAAGAGCACCAGCTGTCAAATTATAGGTAAAGCACACAAATTTGATTATTTGATGAAGTTATGCAAACATTGACATTTTTGTAATTGAGGACTCAGATTCCCTTTTGAATTTGGATTGAACAGATCTTTTTGCACTTAAAGTTCCAGGTACTCGGTAGGGGAAATAGCTAACTCTGAACATTGTGTTATTCAAACATCAAAATAGGCTAAATTTTAGCATTGTACTTTATGTGCATCAATAAAAAAGAATGACTTTTTTACTGTATACCATTCTTATTTTGGGTATGTAATAAATAAAAATTAATCAATTGTATTAAGCTTGCCAAATACTTGCGTGATATTACTTTTTCATATTGTTCAAATAATTTGGAAGTTTTTCTTGTAATATATCAAAAAAAACAATAAAACCAGGTGCATTCAAAAATGGGAAAGCCAAAAGACATTATTACCTTTAATAAATAAAACATGTTATTCTCCTTGCATATATTTTGAGAGTAAGGCATATTTTCAAAAAAAACATGTTTATTTTTGTTTTGTGAATCATTTGTTTTACTGATTAGATGTCATATACTTCAATGTTGTCATCAAAAATTCTACTTATAAACATCTTTGTCATGTTTTGATTACAACAGAATGAGATAATTCCCCCTTTTCCACTAACAGCTTTTATAACCTCTCCTATCAGCTCACCATCACATGTGAACTGTAAAACATTATTGGAGTTACTTCCAGATACCAACACACTTCCTGCGCCAGTGAGATAACAACATGTAGTCACCTTTAATTTTTGTTCATCACTGAATGATGTAATAATCTGACCATTGTTGTCCAGTACTATCAGTTCATCATCATCGTTACCAACATAAATCCTAGTAGCATCTTTATTGACAGCTAAACTGCATATTGCAGAGGGCACCTTATCTCCTGATTGATCTTTACTGAAATGATTAAGTTTCCTACCTGACAATGTATACACGTATATTGATGTGTATAAATCTGAAATATATAAATTATTTTTTGCATATGCAAGATAGACACATGGAAAATCAGTGTTAATCTTGTTTGTTGTTTTCATTTTGCTTTCTAGAGAAATAAAATGTACTTCCTTTTGTGATTGAAGAGTTACTGCTACTTGGGTGTTACTGATCATACACACTTGCCATGGCATTCCAGGTAGATCACAGTAGTCTGTGACAGTATAGTTATAATTGTGTAACCGTTTAAGCTTCCTGTTGTTGTTATCTGCTAGAATAATTGTACCATCTTCCATATAGCAGGCACTGGTGATATAACAACGGTCTTTATCAGACTTAACTTGAACATTATATGATTGATTTCCTTTAATCTGAAATAAAATGTCAGCAGTCTTTGTAGGTATCTGTGATAGTGTGCCTAGGGCCTTCTTTTGTCCCGACTGTCTGAGAATTGTTCTGTCTCCTGCTGTACTTTTTATATTGGCATGCTTGTTGGCAACATTTGCAGCATCCAAACTAAATTCTGGTTCGTAGACTGTATCCTTACATAATCTGAAAAATAAGTTCAGACAGTTTATGGGGCTATGAGGAGATGGTTGATAATAAACTCAGAGCAATAGACTGATGAGGTACATATTTGCATACTTATTCAATTAATTTTACAAATTACGCAATTTTTTTTTTTTAAATGCATATCAAAACCCATTTAAAAGAAATAAGACACGCAATTGCCTTAATGATCCACGGGTATTGTCATTATCATCAGGCAAAAATAACCAGTTGTTCACTTGTAGTTTTTAACAATAGTTATATGCATGCTATCCAAATATTCCAAAATGTAATTCAGGGCTTACTAATAGAAAATCTCCGGTCTTCGACTGTCCCCGATATTGAAATACACAATGTACTGCCGATGTTAAATCAATTATGCAAGAGACCGTTAATTTATATAATAATTTACTCAGGTTAAGTAATAGAAAGAGAACCGAAACACGAGGCTATCTGATTTGTACGAGGGGGCGTAGCCCCCCGAGTATAAATCAGATTGCCGAGTGTTTTGGTGTTCTTTCTCTTTTGTATCATAGTCAAACATAAAAACACGTTCCCTGCTGTCACAATATGAAACCCCGGGAAAAAAGTAACCAATGAACAGGCATCTGAATATGATATTTCTGTCGCTTTCCCTTTCTCTTCCGTCACAATATGTAAACCCCAGCAAAAATGAACCAATCAATGGGAACGCTCTGGAGTGCGGGTAGCTAATACCCGCACTCCAGTTAACGCACTGTACATGTATATGTATACGATTTAACTCTGACACATTTTCAACAGAAAGGTCTCCAAACTATGATACAACAGTCTTTTAACATACCAGCAGAGACAGTTATTTTAACGAAGTTGTTTAAATGTTCTGGACAAATTGTTTTATGTGCAATGTTCCGGAATTTAGACAAAAAACTGGCATATTGGCACATTCGGTCGATCGCTTAGAATGATTATAAAAAACCATGAAAGTCATATATTCAGAATTAAATACCCAATCAATTTTAAAATCATAGGGTAACAGGTTTTAGAATACCCAATTAAATGGAGCCAATACCCAACTCCACATGAAACAATGGAGTAATAGCCAATTCATTTTCAAACTTTATCTATTGCTCTGATAATATTTACTGTTATATATTGAAAATAGAATGTTATGTTAAGTGCCTTACTAAACACTCCATATACTTTTTACTTAAAAATATCTTTGTTTAAATACTATAGTTTACCTATGATCAACTGCTATACATGTTGAACAGCCAACACTATCGTGGTTCTGACAGTACATATCAATGTCTTTATGACTCTGTCTGTCACTAATATCTGCTGCAGATGCCCTCGGCAGATCTTTACTGGTTCTTGACTTAACTTGAGATTTATCCATCGTGGTTTATAATACATCAAATATTTCATCCGAGAGAATATCTGTATCACTTTGTTGACCAGTAGCCATTTTGTCTTTTTCCCAACTAGGTTTTTTAGTTGATCTATTTACATTGTAAAATCGATAAAAGTGTCTCTTTTTCGTTCCCAGGTATTTTAGATTTTAAACATTGATAAACTCTATAATCATGATAACTGTAAGCCTTAAGTATCTTCTACATTGTACTCCTGGGAAAATATCAATATATCTACATAATATTTTTTTGCATTGATATACAATGTAAATCCTCTCGTTTTGCTAAATAACGTCAAAATGATTTGACCTACTTTGGTGCCTTTATACCTCTTTGCACACAGTCTAACTAAAAATGATCTATTTTAAAGTTTATTGATATTCAATACTTAATTGTTAAACTTTAAGGTATATAAAGACTATTTACATATGGCTGGTTTAACGTTATGGTACAGAAATCAATATAACCCGGTAGAAATATCTACTCTTAGATGATCAAATGATAAAAAAAAAAAAATAATATCTAGTCAAAGCAAGTGGTGAACATTTCTGTATTAGTCCTTTGTTGTTGTATTTCGGACACATTCAAAAATGAGCTGGTTTAATATTGTAAGTTTGAATATATAGAAATCAACTCCAGTTTCAATTTAAAAATGTATTTATTTTATTTGAAAAATATACAACCTTTTGACTCAAAAGTCTTCATCAGGTATACTTTGTTTACAGGGGGGGAAAAAAAAAAAATATATATATATATATATATATATATATATATATATATATATATATATATATATATATATATATATATATGTAATTTTAAAATTATATATTTGTCAGAATTAAATTCATTGGCTTTGATTGGTGATGAGTATTTTTTGCAATTTTAAATAGGATTTATGTGTCAGTGTTTGTCCATTGAGAGTTCTAATTAGACCTCTGTGATTATCAAAGGAAGACTCATATGTATACTAAGGAAAGAGTACAAAATCACCTTTTTAAATTCAGATTTTAGAAATAATGCTAGATAAAATCTATAAGTACATGTTATTTTATTTTACCTGTTGAAAATACATAGTATACTGGTTTCCTAGCAGTTTCCAATACAAAATGTCACCCTTTTTAGCTCACCTCAGCTAACTAATAGGTTGAGCTTTTAGGATTGTTGAAAGTCCGTTGTCCGTCCACATTTGTTCGTTAACACTCGTGGTCACATTTTTGCCTCAATCATTATCAAACTTGGTCAGGATGCTTGTCTAGGTAACTGCAGAGTTATGCCCCTTTCACTTTGAAAATAATAAGAAATTTTCAGTTCCGTTCATAATATCTCGCCAAAGGTCATAATTACACATTCAACTCAAATTTGACATATGGATACGACAAAGGAATGTGCAGGTCAATTCAAATTTGGTCATGGTTCAATGATTTTTGGCAGAGTTATGCCCCTTAAACTTTGAAAAAGTTGGAAATTTTCAGTTCCCATTCATTATCTCCCCAACAGTTGTACATATTCAACTCAAATTTATGATATGGATATTTCATAGGAATGCACTGGTCAATTTCGAATTTGGTCATGGTTTGATAAAAGCTGACCTTGAACTTTGAAAGAAATCAGAAATTTTTAGTTTCTGTTCATTATCTCCCCTATCAGGTTGTACATATTCAACTCAAATTTGACATATAGATACATCTTAGGAATAAGCAATTTAGGTTTGAATTTGGTCATGGTTCAAAGTTATCTCTCTTAAATGTTGGAAAAATTTTGAATTTTCAGTTTTAGCACTCATACTTTTGTGGAAATTTATGTAGCCATTATTTTGGCTACATTAATATGCAATATGCAATTTACAAAAGGTTAACACTGAATAGTTTCAGTGCCTTGAACTTTGTATAAAAATGGTTTGTGTTAACATTGAATAGTTTTAAGGGCTTTAACTTAAAATGAAAAAAATAGTTTGTGCAAACAAATTTGGAACTAAATATTATAACATCTGAAATTTTGGCATTCTTGGCGTGACAACACATTTCTAGTCTTTGGCACTGGTGTTATAATAAAACCTCTGGTGCCCATTTGTGCATATGACCTATACTGTGTTGGTGCAACATAAAACCCAACTTAATAAAATAAACTAAAAATTGGTATGGAAGGTCGGTGGTTCTGATTGGCTGCCTGAAATAATGCACAAAGGTGCATCTAAGGTCTTTCTCTATTAGAAGAGTTGGAAAGTAATTATATGACCTTGACAATGTAGGTATGGCAAAACTGTGTGAGAATATGTATGCAGTGCTGAGTCAGACTTAAAGCATGCAATTACAAATGATAAACACTGTTGAACACTATGTGTCTGATTTAAGAATTATGTTGTTATAAAAAAAGTCAGTTTCTTAATGCAAATTTAAACCAGTCCTTTTCTCTGATTTTTATGATAAGTATGTCAGCCCCATATTTTGTATGCTAATGAAACTTTATTTGGAATAATAACCTTATTTAGGTTTTTCTTAAACAAAATTTTTTATTAGTTCCATTAAAACTCTGCTAAAATAAATGAGACATTATGCAAATAGGCAACTAACTTACTAAAATGTGAAATTTAAACTCCGTTCCTTTTTAGCTCGACTATTCGCAGAATAATCGAGCTAATGCAGTCACCCATTTGTCGGCGTCGGCGTCCCTGGTGGTTAAGTTTTTGTATGTAAGCTGGTATCTCCATAACTACTGAAGGGAATGGATTGAAACTTCACACACTTGTTCTCTGTGATTATCTAAGATGATTGGCACAAGTCCCATAACTCTAATTTGCTTTTTTTCATAATTATGCCCCTTTTTCGACTTAGAAATTCTTGGTTAAGTTTTTGTATGTAAGCTGGTATCTCCATAACTACTGAAGGGAATGGATTGAAACTTCACACACTTGTTCTCTGTGATTATCTAAGATGATTGGCACAAGTCCCATAACTCTGATTTGCTTTTTTACATAATTATGCCCCTTTTTCGACTTAGAAATTCTTGGTTAAGTTTTTGTATGTAAGCTGGTATCTCCATAACTACTGAAGGGAATGGATTGAAACTTCACACACTTGTTCTCTGTGATTATCTAAGATGATTGACACAAGTCCCATAACTCTGATTTGCTTTTTTACATAATTATGCCCCTTTTTCGACTTAGAAATTCTTGGTTAAGTTTTTGCGTGTAAGCTGGTATCTCCATAACTACTGAAGGGAATGGATTGAAACTTCTCACACTTGTTCTCTGTGATTATCTAAGATGATGGGCACAAGTCCCATAACTCTGATTTGCTTTTTAACATAATTATGCCCCTTTTTTGACTTAGAAATTCTTGGTTAAGTTTTTGCGTGTAAGCTGGTATCTCCATAACTACTGAAGGGAATGGATTGAAACTTCACACACTTGTTCTCTGTGATTATCTTAGATGATTGGTACAAGTCCCATAACTCTGATTTGCTTTTTAGCTCACCTGTCACAAAGTGACAGGGTGAGCTTTTGTGATCGCTTTTCGTCCGGCGTCCGTCGTCCGTCGTCCGTCCGTCGTCCGTCGTCCGTAAACTTTTACTTTAAATGACATCTCCTCATAAACCACAAGGCCAATTTCATCCAAACTTCACAGGAATGTTCCTTTGGTGGTCACCTTTAAAAATTGTTCAAAGAATTTAATTCCATGCAGAACTCTGGTTACCATGGCAACCGAAAGAAAAAACTTTAAAAATCTTCTTTTAAAAAACCATAAGAGCTAGAGCTTAGATATTTGGCATGAAACATCTTCTAGTGAGTGTCTACCAAGTTTGTTCAAATAAAAGCCCTGGGGTCAAAATTGGCCCCGCCCCGGGGGGGTCATTGATTTTCCCTATATGCATATAGTAAAAACTTTAAAAATCTTCTTTTAAAGAACTCAAAGAGATATGGCTAAGATATTGAGCATCAAACATGTTCTAATAGGTGTCTACCAAGTTTGTTCAAAGAAAAGCCCTGGGGTCAAAATTGGCCCCGCCCCAGGGGGTCATTGATTTTCCCTATATGCATATAGTAAAAACTTAAAAAATCTTCTTTTAAAGAACCAAAAGAGTTAGAGCTAAGATATTTAGCATGAAACATGTTCTAATAAGTGTCTACCAAGTTTGTTCAAATAAAAGCCCTGGGGTCAAAATTGGCCCCGCCCCGGGGGTCATTGATTTTCCTTATATGTGTATAGCAAAAACTTAAAAAATCTTTTTTGAAAAAACCCAAATAGCTAGAGTTAAGATATTAAGCATGAAACATCTTTGAGTGTGTGTCTACAAAGTTTGTTCAAATAAAAGACCTTGGGTCAAAATTGGCCCCGCCCCGGGGTCATTGAATTTCCTTATATGTGTATAGCAAAAACTTAAAATCTTCTTTGAAAAAACCCAAATAGCTAGAGTTTAGATATTAAGCATGAAACATATTCTAGTAAGTGTTTACAAAGTTTGTTCAAATAAAAACCCTGGGGTCATAACTGGCCCGGCCCCAGGGTTGTCATTGTTTTTAACTATATGTGTATAGTAAAAACTTAAAAAAAATCTTCTTTTAAATAGCCCAATGAGCTAGAGCTTAGATGTTTAGCATGAAACATCTTCTTATGGGCGTCTACCAAGTTTGTGCAAATAAAAGCCCTTTGGTTAAATTGGCCCTGCAACGTTTGGGGGGGGGTGGGGGTTGGGGGGGCCTATATACAGGTGAGCGACCTCAGGGCCATCATGGCCCTCTTGTTTGCATAATTATGCCCCTTTTTCGACTCATGAATTCTTGGTTAAGTTTTTGCATGTAAGCTTGTCTCTCCATAACTACTGAAGGGAATGTATTGAAACTTGAAGAGTTTGTACCTTTTCGAACAATTTTATGTATTCATATAGGTAAGCATTATTATACTCAATGAAACACCCTTGTGACAAATTTTCGAATAGTCGAGCGTTACTGTCCTCCGACAGTTCTTGTTAAAAAATGTCAAGATGTTAAAAGAATGAAGAGAAGAATTCTATATAAATGGAATTCTCCGGAAGGTTGGCCCCCAATCCTGCTTAGTACACTACTTTTGGATGATTTTTATTCAATTGTAAGCAAATAACTTCCTTTATTACAGATGTTCAGTAGTAGACAACTGTCAATGACTGATGCCATAGTAACAGCCATGCAAGCCATCTTGTTACCACATGATGACAACATCTCATCTTTGCAACAAGTCCTCCCATTGGCTGATGATGGAAATAGCATGTCCAATCAGATCTGTCGTGTTGTAGCTGAGTTGGAAACCAGAGCTTGTACTGTGCTAGCACTGTATTTACAAGATATAGATTTCACCAAGGAGTTTATACAGCACTGTGGGTCCACCATTGATATGCTCAAAACACTAGCCAAAGACTGCAGTACTGGTAAGATTTGCTTTTTTTGCCTTTTTGATATTTAAACCCTTTAAACTTTAAATGGACTGTTCTAATTTTCAAAGAAGCATAAATCTATTACATAAATTCAGGTAGTTAAGTGCTTGAAAAACAGCATATGACCTATAACATAGTCTTAGTGGCATAAAGTCTCTCAAAAACAATAGAAATAAATGGTTAAAGGAATACAAACGAGAGGAAAACAAAATAATCAATTGTTCTTTTTTGTTGTACTATTCAGGTGTTAGAAAACCAGTGCTAGAATCCCACTGTGAGAGATTGAGGACACTGTACAGAGATTGTGCCAAACCTCCACCTCCTCCAAGTAAAGTTGATAACAGGGTATGTATAGATTTAATTTAAACCACAAAAAAGTTATATTTAAATCTTACTCATTTGTAGAAAGTATCCGTTTGTTTTCTGTGAATACACACTGTATTTTTTTTAAGATGTCACAATGAAAGTAAAAATAAATAGAGGATATTCAAGATACTGCCACTCATTTAATATATTTATTTTTACTACCACTCAATGAAAATAAATCCTGTATTTATAGAAAATGATTTTTCTGTTATTTATATACATTTTTCTCTTTTTGACATTACAATTTGAAAGACTTTCCCATAAATTTGTGTACTGGCAGAATTTAAAAGAAAATAGTCAGTGAAAATATGTTTAAATGCAGTGAAAAATAAAATTTTTACAGTGAATATACAGAAAATGATAATACACATTTTATTTCATCAATATTTCATTGACAAGTAGATAATAAATGAAAATTCTCAATTTGAAGAGAGATATTCTGTATATTAACTGAAAAACAAACACATTTTTTTTATCTTATATTCCATTGCAACTAGTCTATAGTTTTTCTTTTAAACAAGCCAGACATTCCTAAAAAGCATAAAGACTAAAATTGGGGACCAAATAAGGCTTGTTATTTTGAGCTTATTCATAACCTTGTGCATATCTTTATATGTCACCCATTCTTTTTCACTAAATCTTCCAATGTATAGACTGTAAACCTCATTCAGATTCAAACAGTGTGATATGACTTATATCTCATTGATATTTTGTCAATATCTCAACTGATATTTTGTCATTATCTCACTGATATTTTATCAATATCTCAACTGATATTTTGTCAATATCACACTGATATTTTGTCAATATCTCAACTGATATTTGTCATTATCTCATTTATATTTTGTCAATATCTCAACTGATATTTTGTCAATATCTCAACTCATCGAAATATAGCACTTCATTATATTTTGTTATAAATCTCATTATATCCTCTACAGAACAAGGAAATGACCTGGGACACCAGCCGTAACTTTCCACCGGTGAGAGCGTGTTTGTTCTCTCATAATCTTACAGGAGTTACCTTCCTTGGTGACCCGAGTGCCGGCAGTGGATTGCCTAGGGGAACTTTGGTCTATGCTAATATACCTATACCTTTACAGGTCTGTATATCTCAAGCTTATAAGATAGTCTTATACATGTATATGAATTTAAAACAAATGAAAATTGTGTCAATGACTTTTTCATTGCTTAAGTAAGTTGTTTAAGTGGTTTGTGTTGTTAAGAAAATCTCAATTAAACTGTAGGTGGAATATTCAATTCAGTTGAATAGTAGCTTGAGTATGTGAATGTTAGTTTTAAGTACAGGATAAAGAAATCAGGATATAAAAGTCTCTGTAAATACACAAGTTTGAGTGCTTTACTATTACCAAACCAATTAACTTGCCTTTCTGAAAACAAACATCTAGCAATATTTCTTGGTTGTGTTTCATTGAAAGTTCTAAGTCTTAAATATGTCTTCAGACCAAAACTGAGACAATTTTTGTTTCAAAGAAATTGTCCTACCTTATGAATAGCGATGCAAATTAACAATTACAAATTGCTGATTGAACGGCATGCCATTGTACTTTGTAACTTCTCTCAGGAGAATAAAATAAATAGAAGTCTGAAACTTTTACATAAGATGAAAATATTTATTGAAACGGTCTTCAGTTAAGTCTATAAATTGTCATAAGTTCTAGAACTTAGAATACACTTAGGACTTTCTATGAAACGCAGCCCGGATCTATAGCTTGTGTGGAAATTATTTGATTGAGACATTATGAGGCTTAAATGCTGTTGTGGTACAATATTTCAGGCACCATCATTTTACTGGGAGCTGGAAATATGTTCATTTGGAGACAGTCAGGATGAGAGTTCTGCGTACGTCTCATTTGGTTTTGCCCCACCTGCTGAGAAGAAGGATGGAGCCTGGACAAATCCCATAGGAACCTGTCTCTTTCTGAAGTAAGTCTGCAGGTGCATTTTATAAATGTAAAGGTTGTACAAATACACCTGCGGTAACTGTTTAAGTGGTTAAGTGAGTGACACCGAAAAATTGGTGAATTTGGAGAAATGACGAAAATTGCTAAAATTTTCTCTAGCATAAATATCAACCAACCTATCATTAAATTCTTCTTTTCCAAGATTGGCTAATATTTCTCCACATGAAATGTCTGGAAGTTAAAATTTGCTAACTTTTTGACACACGGAAATATTTGTTTATACAGTTCATTTGAAAGTGAAACTTTGTGGGGAAAGAAAGCTTGATAATTTGCATGATTGTCAGCAATGCTATTATTAGACAAATACTTAACCATCTAAATTTGCATAATGGATTTGTCCTGTTCTGAAATTGAAACTGTTTATTGATGGCTTAAGGAATCTGTAATTTAAAATATTATGGTGAGTTAAACAGCCAAAACTGTAGACTAGGCCGTCAGATATCTGATTTGACTTACTGTTCTTATGATAATTATAAAATAAAATGTAAATTCTTGACATCTTTGACTTGTAACTATTGGATGTGGGCAAAACGGTAAATTGATTTTGATGCCCCTGTAGAGTTAGTCAAACTGCATGGATTTGCAGTCCAACCAGACAAAACCTTATTATTGAAAACCCTTCTTCTTGACAATGAACAATTCCAAATGGAATGCAGGACATGTTCCTTATACAAATTTTTAAAGGATTAGTTATGTAATCACAGATGAACATTCAGGACTATTTTTGAATTCCAGGATTTGGATACCCCTGAAAGCCTTCTTTTCTATTTAAAATACTAATGAAAATAATGCTAATTTCAGGGTTTTCAATTATTTTTGGACATTTAACTTTCCTCACTGTGTATATAATTTTAGGTAGTATTTATTTTGTAAATCATATAAACTTTATTTGTACATCGGCAAAAATTGATTTCTGATATTTTCAGTAATGGTAAGGCAGTCCATTACAATGGAGCCAGTTTACTACAGTGGCGCAGTGTTAGACTGGACTGCTTGGTCGGTGTGGGGGATATAGCTGGTATTGGCTGGGAGAGAACCAGCGACTCTCCAGTACAAGGCGAAACTCCTAAAGGCAAGGTGTACTTCACCTTTAATGGGAGGAAACTTCAGCCATGGATAGAAGATGTGGCAGGTGCCATGTATCCTGTGGTTCATATACAGAAAAAGGTATGATAAAATATTTTTAGTTTTGTTTTAGCTTTAAAAATATTGAGTTTCTGGATTTTCATTTTGTTACTTTTTATGCCTTCTAAATGGTTGATGAAATGATAAAATAAACTGATCATGGTGTAAAGATCTCTGAAACTAGTCAAGTACTTTCAAGTTTCACACATACATGCTTGCTCCATCATGGGGTGTCCCAAGTTACATAACTGGCTATAGGATTTTAGGACTGTTTCTCCTGGACAAAAGTTTTGTATTTTAGTACGCCTTTAAGAAACTTTAATATTAAATGTCTTTTAACATTTTAAGTTTACATATAACTTGTTTAATTGATTTTTGAATAAATGAATGTATTCAGAATTCATACAAACCAAATGCTAGACCAAATTCTTTAACTGGGTGTAGGTCTTTGAAGTCACAATTTGTCATTATTAGCAATTTTAGTTATTTTTTTGTTAGGTAGCAAAGGTTTATGTATTAATATAACTCTTTTTCTTAATCAGCATTCTGATTAAATCAAGTATCACAATACAGGAATCATTTTATGGAAAGGAATATATTCTTATTTCAGTCAACAAGAGTGAAGGCCAATTTTGGTGCAAGGCCGTATGCATTTGCCGAAGGTCAACAACACCGAGAGGCGGCTGACGAAGCTGATGATCTGACACGAGAAATAAGAGAAAGTTTCGGTCATTTACCATTCCACTCTACGTCGGACAGTGACAGTGATGGTGCAGTTTCGGCCCCTTCTACACCCAGTAACCTTAGCGAGATTAATGAACTTAATCTAACTGCTGGACCATCGTGTAAAACTGTACCAATTCCAAAGCCTCTTAAAGGTAAAAATTGTGTTAAACATATTTTATTTGACATAATACAAGATTAGATTTTACAGTGTTGGGCCAAAGTAAATCACAATCAAATAAATAAGGATAAAACTTTACATTACATATACAGTCAAAACTAGATTGTACAATAAAAGGGTTAGACTGGAAGCATCCTAATGCTTATTGAAGTCATTTCCAAATGTATAGTAAGTACTAGTACAAGATAAGGCACATTGTTTCATCATTGATTGACGAAAAAGGTTAAATGTATTGGTTTTTGTTTTCTGTATAGTAGTTTGAAATAAGAAGACGGAGTCATGTCAAAATATTTTAGTGTAAATTAAGTATTGTATAGAAAATTGTATAGTCAAGATAAGAAATTGAATTGAAAATTTGTCTTCAAGATAGCAACATAATGATTTAAAAGATAAAAGTCAACATGAAATTAACCTATTTAAAAAAATAATGCTGTTTGAAAGTAAAAAAAAATCAAGTTGTATGATTCAGTTTTTTTTTTGAATTAGATTACAATCATAGAAATGTTTGATCTTTTTGTTGTAGAATACAACCCAGATAACTGTCGCTTCTACAAGTTGTTCCACTCCTATGATAGTATGATAACAACTGGGCCAGACCCAAAGGCTCAACTCCCGGCCCAGGACACACTCTCAGACGAAGAGTCCAATGAGGATGAATCTAACAACGAGGACCATCATGCATTGTTAGTGAAGGCGTGGGAACAGAAAGTTTTCCCAGTGATCCGAAGGAGGTTTAGGAATGAGGCTGAGAGGAAAGATGGTTTAGAACAGATAAAGGGGGCATTGCAAATAGGTAAATAATTGATGGCTGTGTAGGAGGCATATACATTGTTTCACTGTCACATTGTGTGACCGTAGAATGACAAACTTTGAAGTGTCATGGTATTGTTTCCTATGGACACATTTCTTGTTACTGTTTATAATAAAATCTTTGAACATCTTTAGCATGTCTGTTTAAAGAAAAGTAGCGGTGTGGTCTAGTGGTTAACGCATCAGGGTAGTAATCTAAGGATTGCTGACCGCGTGGTTCAAACTCTGTCAGGGAAAATTCTTTGTTTCCTTGACGAGAAACTTTACATTCTTGTTGGTTCCCGGAACAGATTTAAGATGCTTATAGCTTCCAACACAATCTAACTTAAATTAAATGTATATAAACTATAAGGAAACAGGAGAGCTATTGTACTTACCCCAATGCTTGCATCAGCATCTCACTTTGGTTAGTATTTGCGTGCGAGTTGGTATCTCAAAAATTACTGAAGGGAATAGGTTGAAACTTCACACTTCTCACATTTGTGATTTTTGCACAAGTTCCATAACTCTTAGTTACATAGGTATGTCCCTTTTCCTTCTGTCAAGCACTAGCTGAGAATAGTTGAGCATACTGTCTTATGTACAGTGCTTTGTTTATAGGTAGTTAAAAGCTGCAGGAGAATGTCGTTGTAGAAATAATATGATATATTTTTGTTAGTCCTGCAGGTTCAGCTCCAACTTTTGAATCAAACTATTAATAAGGAGCCATAATAGTCCTTCAAAACTCTATTATATTTATACATATTCATGATACAATGTATGCTTAAGCATAACATAGATATTTCAGTATTGTACAGAATTTTGGAAGATGTATATTAAGAAAATAGAAGATTTTTCTATAAATACAAGAATTATTTTCATCAAGTGGTATGAAAATAAATATTTCTTGAATGACGGTAGCCACAAGTGAAATTTGATAATTTTCATGCCACAAGATGAAAGTAAATCTTGTAGTTACAGAAAAAAAACCTTAATTTACTGTTTTTTCTATAAATTTTGTTTATTGGTTGAATTTAGAAGTAGTCTGGAAAGACACCATTGAAAATATGGAAAATATTTTTCACTGCATTGAAAAATAAAATTTTACAGTGAAAATACAAAAATTGAAATATATGCATTTTATTTCATCAATATTTTATCAATATTCCATTTACAAGTATATAATAAATATTATTATTAATATTTAATGTAGGTATGACGTTCATTGCTCGACAGACGGTTGAATTCTTGTATGAAGAAAATGGTGGCATGCCACGTGACCTTCACCTTCCAACAATTGATGACATAAAGGAAGATCTTGCCAAATTTACGATCGACCGTGTCAGAAAGGGTACCACTGTTGTGATCAGGGGCTCCACGGGTAGCAGTGCTAGCGGAGCCACAGTGCTACCAAAGTTTGCTGTTCGATCCATGTTAAAAACATTCGGACTCACTGGAACTGTACTTGATGTAGAAAATGTAAGATAACGATAAAGTTTCAGTTTTGATCCTTTTGAAATATGGAACTTGTTTATTATAATAGAACAAAGCAAAATCAAATCCTAGTATATGATTTAATCAAATGATTGTGTGTAAAGATCTGTGAAACTAGTTAATCAGATACTATTAAGTTCCACACATACATGCTTGCAGCATCATGCATGAAGGGCCACCTAAGGTCTGAAGTCACCATATGACCTTTACAATGTCAGTGCGATAAAAAATCCACAAAATAAATAACAAAATCAACTACATGACAGCTACCAGTTTTAAATATTTAATCAACTTTACCATTTATTTTTCAGTCTAACGAGCTAGTCCAGGTTGAGACTTACCTGAGAAGTGAAGGTGTGTTAGTCAGATACTGGTACCCATTGAACATGCTTGAACGACCACCACAGGGTATGAGAAAATCTACAATAACCGGCGGCCAGATACTTGACACCAGCAACGTCAATATACATAAGTATGCATTAAAAATATCTTACACCATGAATTTGAATATGTTTTCCAATGTATACATGTAGTCACTGATCTGTTATATACAAATGAAATATGCTTAGTTATATAAATGAAATATGCTAAGTTATACAAATGAAGTATGCTTAGTAATACAAACGAAATATGTTTAGTAATACAAATGAAATATGTTTAATTATACAAATGAAATATGCTTAGGTATACAAATGAAATATGCTTAGTAATACAAATGAAATATGCTTAGTTATACAAATGAAATATGCTTAGGTATACAAATGAAATATGCTTAGTTATACAAATGAAATATGCTTAGGTATACAAATGAAATATGCTTAGTAAAACAAATGAAATATGCTTAGTTATACAAATGAAATATGCTTAGGTATACAAATGAAATATGCTTAGTTATATAAATGAAATATGCTAAGTTATACAAATGAAGTATGCTTAGTAATACAAATGAAATATGTTTAGTAATGCAAATGAAATATGTTTAGTTATACAAATAAAATATGCTTAGGTATACAAATGAAATATGCTTAGTAATACAAATGAAATATGCTTAGTTATACAAATGAAATATGCTTAGTTATACAAATGAAATATGCTTAGGTATACAAATGAAATATGCTTAGGTATACAAATGAAATATGCTTAGTTATACAAATGAAATATGCTTAGGTATACAAATGAAATATGCTAATGAAATATGCTTAGTTATACAAATGAAATATGCTTAGGTATACAAATGAAATATGCTTAGGTATACAAATGAAATATGCTTAGTTATACAAATGAAATATGCTTAGGTATACAAATGAAATATGCTTAGGTATACAAATGAAATATGCTTAGTACATGTAAAAAGTATTAGAAGGAAGAGTTTTAGTTCATATTTGATGAATGCAATTTTCCCTATTATTAGCAGCTCTCTAAGACTAAAACTGAGATATTGATGACATTGAAAGTGACATTATGTTATTTTGCTGTCAAGTTGAATTGAATTAGTGATATATTATAAGAGATTCACTATCAAAATTGTGATTGACAAATAATTAAAAATGTTAATTATAAAAAGACAGTCCTACTAGACTTTTTATTAAAAAAAAAAAAGAATGTTTCCAACATGTCCCAAGTGACATTTATAGAAATGTCCTGTTGACAGGTGGATTATTGTTGCTTTATTAAATTGGATATAATTATGGCAATATATAGTTATTTTGATTTTTACCCGTACACTCAACAATAACACTTAGATTGGCATAATGTCACTTTAAGACAAATAGACTACCTTATAAGGAACAGTAATTCTATATTACCAATACCTATATAATGCTTTGACATTATCAATACCTACATGTATATCATGCTTCTTTTGAAATTTTTTCAAGGGAGTTAATTAGATCAGAAAGAACTGTGGCGAGAATGTACTGTCGCACTGCGTTGTTGAAGCTGATAGATCATTGCAACTCTTCAGCTATGGAGGTGATTTCCTGCTCTCCTAGTCTGGCCTCGGGTATGGCTGCAAGCGCGGCCCTGTTACAGGAACTGGATATTGAAAACATTCAGCTGCTGTCTAATGAGTTGTTAAAGGCGCCTCAACCTCATGGTACTATTAAGGCGAAATCGTTGGTGTTGTCAGACTCGTCCAAACACTGCCTGGCTGCCCATAGTTGTTCGCTATCAGATCTGATGTATGAGAATGTTGACAGGTAAATTTTATGCTGAATATATGTTATCATAACTTGGCTGTAATGGTAATCCAGGGTTTGAATTTTTGTCCGAGGCAAATGATGTGCCAACGAAAACAACTGATTTGCCCAAGGGTAAAGGGGGATGTTTTAATCTACAGGCTGAAAATACAACATGATTTTAACAGCATTTCAACTGATGATATGTATAGCCAATCTGTCAATAATGAAAACCCTGGTAATCATTTTAACATTCAATTTTCTCTAGGAATGATGGCCTTTGTGAGGAAGCTAACCAAGTTAGAATTGAGTTTGTAACATCTGCTTTTGTATGCCTGAAATATAAGATAAGGGAGATATGATCTCCTAACATCTTTTTCATGAAGTAAAATTCAGAAATTTGCTGTCCTTATTATGGTGAGGATCCAGGGGTCTCTGGTTTGATGATCGAGTGAAGGAAAATTTCTCAGTGACCATTGATCTTGAAGATTGAGTCTAATGGTCATTTGTCTCTTACTGCGATCAACAGTGGACTGACCCAAGAGATATGACCAAAATTGTTAAAATTTAAAGTGTTAAAATTGGAGTAGAAACCAAACGAAAAGAAAGTTGCCAATAAACTTATTCACTTATGCATGAGGAATACTATTATAGTTATTTTATAAAAATTTTAAATGTTTGGTATCTTGTTATAGTTTCCAGAATATACTGTAATTGCCATAAAGATTAAGTATCTTTGCTTCTTTTGCTTTGTTGGCAATTGTTATAATTATAGTAAATAAGTATTTGTATGGAAGTTAAAATACATACATATTGCTATCTTTACTACACATTACTGCACATTTACTGCTGCTTTCTTCAGCTGTTAAACATCTTACATGCTCTAAATCCGTTATCAAAACATTTTCAACTGTGAAAGTCAAGAATAGCAAAAATAATTTGTTTAGCTAATACACATTCAGTCATTCATTTTTTTCTTGCTTTAACTTTAAAGATTGAAGAAAGAGCTGGCCATAGCCATTGCAAGAGCCGCTGGTCAAGGAGAAGATTATCTGTTTGAATTGACGAACCAGATCTGTACATGTCTGCAGGTTAGATATTTTTATGATAGATTTGCTAATTTTAACATGACATGGGGACAGATATCTGGTTTTCCTCCCTATTAAGAGGGAAAGGTTGCCAAATGTCCAAAGCGTTTCTGACTTTATGAGAAAAAAAAGAACCCTAACAAAAAGTAAAATTCAACCGAATGTAACAAAAATGAAATATGTATGATCATAAAAGTGAAAAAGTATTGTTGAAGCTGTCTTGTTAGAGACAGGACTAGTTGCTTATTTCACACAATTTCAAGGAGGATTTGGCACCTTTCTAGAACCACAAACTTTCTGTAAATCAGATAAGTGACCCATAACATAAATTCAACTTAAGATGTTAGATAGCAATTTTATGTATAAATGAAGACAATAATATATAAATTACACATAGGTGTGAAACAGTAAAAATACCATCCAGAGCAAATACTGTCACTCAAGGCATTAGCTCAGTGTAATATTTTTTTTATGCGAGGGATGATATTTTTGGTGATACAAAAATGTATGCACAAACCTATGTGTCATGTATTTTATTGCCCCAAACAAATACTTCATTAAGTATCTGTTTCTATAGGTTTTATTTTTCAGATTTTTACTGTTAAAAAGTACTATTACCTATGCCACAGAGCAAAATTCTTAGTTACGTGGTACACTTGCATTAACAGTAAAAATAACCTATGGGAAATAGCATTACAAAAATAGTGAGGGATAATAATAAAGTTTGACAAACTCTACTTAGGCGAAGATTTTTGCATTCATATATATTTATTTACATCGATACACCTTGCTTCAGTATAAAAAAAAACAATTTTTTTTAATCAGTATATTGTATTATAATTACTATATACCTATCAGACTGCACCAGAGATGTTTCCATATGAAGAGTTTCCAGTGACAGAGAGTAAGGTGCAGACAGATATATATTTCCCGGGCGCAGCTTGTCTCATTATCTCCTGTAAAACTGACCCGAAAGCAACAAAAAAAGAGTATGTATAAACATTGTTATAACCTATTGATTTATCTTCTTTATTTTGAGCGCATTACTATATGTTTGCTATTTGTGAATTATTTTCTTTGTTCATTTCACAAAATATTACTTTTAAGTACATTATTAAAGTTTCCAGGAAAATAAGCATGAATCTGGACTCTGAAAGCATGCTGCTTTAAAGTTTATATTTAAATATCGTCAGAAATGACAATTTAACATGTTATATTACAACTTGAAGGAAAGTTATTGTGACTCTCTTGTAGAGGTAAGATTTATGGAGGAATTTCTGTTTTCTTTTCAGAACATCCTTGTACAAGTCTCCATGGGCTCGGATCTATTGCTACACTGGCCAGAGAATTAAGAAATCTGGTCAAGTATCCAAACAGGAAGTGGTCAGCTACCCACGGGACACGTCCTCAACCAGCAACCATGCTGAACAGTACACTCCGGCAATAATTCCCTGCGACTGTATTCACATCAAAGTGGGCGTGTCTCCACCCCCAGGGATAACCATCACCATTCACGCTTTACCACCTCAGTTCTTACTATCACTTACTTATATAGAGACATTAATTACAGAAACTCATGGATGTGGCACGAAAAGCTGCACCCCGCCAAAGCAAGATGAACCCAATCCATGGGATTTACCGTCTTTCTCACAAAGTCCCTCTAAAGCGGAATCAAAATCCATTGGAAAAGATCCAAACGGAAGTTTATGGAATTTGGACAATATTGTTATTACACCACCGGTGTTCAGTCATGTGATTGAACAGATATGTCTCTACCTGTGGAGAACCGACGTTCCAGCTGTAGTCAAGGAATACATTTTCCACCAGCTAGCACAGTCTATAAGAATTTATCACTATAGCGAGGGAGGGAATGGTACCCGGCTACCTTCTCCGCAGCCTCATTTGAATGTGAACACGGGACTCATGGTGTTGTTACAGTCTGAGTTAAAGATTTTGTATGAGACAGAAACAAAAGGATGGGAAACGAAGACAACACCTAGTGGCACAGGTTTGTTTTCTTTTAAGTACCGTATAAGTGGTTTTTTCTGCGGGCTCCAAATTCTGCGGTTTTTTCAAATTTTGGCATGTCTTTATTTCTGCGGACTTTATTTCTGCGGCACATTCTTTGGACAAAACGTGATTTAAATTCTGCGACTCGTCTTATCAAAATCTAAGTCACATTTCTCAACCTATTTTTTCGCACGTACACATTTGTTTAGCTTCGTCACCGCAAAACAATAAAGTAATTACAAACAAATGTACTGTTTGCTTGCAAACAAATATAATGCACAACAATAGAAAGGTATGCAGCTTTTGATCATCGTGAAATGACGTGTGAAAAATATAACCCTGTAGTATCTTTAATTCTATAATTAAAAAGTTGATAGCAGTTGACCGTAAATCAGATGACAATTATAGTAGACGACGATTATTTAGCAGAATAAGGGTTGAAATGGTTTGAAATAGCTAAATTCTTAAATTAGCATCATTAACAATTAGTACGTCCTTTAAAAACACAGATTACATAATAAGCCTACAGCAATTTAATACAATTTGAAAACCCCCTTACCGTTATAATACGTTAGTCGTTATTACTGTAGACGAAACAGGTCATAATGCAGGACACATATCGTAGCAGGTGAGTGAAATATTCTGCGGTTGTTATTTCTGCGGTCATGAAACTGACCGCAGAAAACGCAGATATAAAGTCACCGCAGAAAAAACCACTTATACGGTAGTTTATTATTTTGTGTATGCACTGTTTATAAAGTATATTAAGAATTTATGAGGAAACATGATAGTTGCTGATCATGATTTTTGAGTTTATGATCCCTTAGTTAATCACAAGGCCATCTCTCCTTTGTCAGAGTTATAATTGACATTTCATTTAAAGCTTTTTGGAACAAGTTGAAGAAAGGTCACCATTGGCAAGCTTAAAAACATCTTTTCTGAACAAGTATTTTTTTTATTGAAGTTCTTTATACTCTTACTTTTAATCTTGCAGGAATTGGTATAGGGGTAACAGACCAGGGTAAATTCTCCACATATCTCCATGCTCTACTAGAATTAAATCTAGCAGTGGCAGAGTTAAACAAACCCACTGGTAGATCAAAGGGTGGTGACATTGGTTTGAGCCTAGAGATGGTTCCACGCCCACCAACCAGTCCAACACATACTTCAAGAAGAAAGAAACTGAAAACAAAGCGCGACAGAAGAGATAGTGCACAGAAGAGAGATGATGCTCGTAGAACAAGTGAAAGCGATGCTGTGGAACCAGGTCAGCCATCTTCAGCCTCATCTTCTAGTTTGCTGTCATTAGTGTCATCAGCAAGTGATCCAAGTGTGGCCGCATCAACTTCAGGAGCTTCAAGTTCATCAGCAGCAACTCAAGATAAAGAAGGTAAAGAGAAGGAGAAAGATGTAAAGGAATCGAAGACAACTACTAAACTAGCCAAACCAGAAGACGAGTTATGGTTGCATAGGGCTTTAATTGTATCACACATCTTACGATGCTTAGCTTTTAATGAGAAAAATGGTATGATAGCTTTAGTAAATGCAATTGCTGATGCACATCAGGTTTTGAACACTGTAACAGCACACCAGAGATTAGTAATAGTAACTGGTATTCCAACGAATCTTGAACCTGACTTTGTAAAGCATGCTTTAAGATCAATATTTAAATCACACGGAGGAGTAGATAGAGATGAAATATTTTTACCATATCAGACTGTAGAAACGGTTCAGGTTAAAGAAGTTGTGGTAAAAGATGATGCAAGTGGTGAGACTGAAACTAAACAAGTGAAAGATACAGGTGAACAAAGTGAAGGAGAAGTAGCAAAAGAAAGAGAGGAGTCTGAAAATGTTCAGGATGGTGCTAAAAAGGAAGATGTGCAAGATAGTAACCAAACAGAGCTCAAGAAAGAGATCAAAAGAGAAAAGAAATTAAATGGATATGCTGTTGTATCAGTAATGTCAAAAACCAAAGTTGAAAATATTAAAAAGAGCCTGAGTAAAAGTAATGCATTGTTCGAAGGGGCATCTCTAGAGCATGACGACCCCATTGAAGTTCCAACCATTACAACAGTGGCACCAAACTTGATAGCTGAGGAGCAGTCAAATGAACCTTTGGAAAAATATTTACAGTTTAAATTTTTCCAGGATAAAAACCAGTCAGAGATTTGTGACAATGCTACTGTGGCTTTGACTGAGATTTTTACAAGTTGTTTCATAGTTGAACAAAAGCATGGATCACCAGAGTTCAGACAGGAATCAGGATACATCTGTCTTAGTAAGGAGCAGATCTTACAACACACACCAGAGAATTTGTTGTGTGCATTCTTCAGTAACATAAGACCGCCAAAGAAATCCTTACCTGAGCAGGTGTTACAGGTTCTGAGAAGATATGGGATGGTCTTCACACCAGACAAAGAAGGGTAAATGTTTATGTTTATAGTTTAATAATATTTTATTGTATTAATATACACACAATATACAATTTTACAAACATCATCAAGTGTACATACAAAAGGGTTGGGCCAAAAGTTCTAACAACATTATTGTGGGCCCTTCCCCTTTATGGTTATACAATCATAAAGAAAGACATTGTAAAGCATTGTCAGTCCTACATTTCTTGTGCCTCATTTCCAATGAAACTGTGGTTCTATTGTCATAGTGCAGCTGAACCCGGAGATAATACAGGTTTTGAGTCTAAAAAAGGGTTCACAAACATGACTCCATATTTGATACCAGTAATAGATACACCAGAGTGGTTCAAAGAATCTTTAAGCTTTAATCATAGTTGAACTTAAATGAAAAAAATTTAGACTGTCATAATTATGTATGTTTAGTGACTGTCATAATTATGTAAGTTTAGTTGATATTACTTTGATTGAAGTTATTGTCCCTGATGCCAAGAAAGCCATATATTGGAATAAGAACGGTTTTAAATTTCAATATTTCAGATCTCCAGGAACTGAGCGTCAAGGTAGAGGTAAAGGTAGAAAACCACAGAAAAGTGCCAAAGAAAAAATGATGGCAACTACAGAAAAGTTTGTATACCTTGTTATCATCTAAATTTCATAGTTTAGGTTTTGAGCTTGTTACAAATCCTTGCATCAGAAAAAAATTTCTATTATATGTATACTGAACCAAAAAAGAAACTTTCGCAAAATATGTGCCAGTTGTTCAAGGGTACCACTTAGATGTACACACTTGTATACATGTAGTAGCTTGTAAAACTCGTTTTGTTTGCAAAATCGGTCAGCTAATCCCCGTATAAAAGCCCGATATGTTTATATTAACGTAAAAATCGAGTTTCAAAAGGATTGAAAAACTGTACTAACATATCTACATTCAAACTTGGAGAAAGTTTCTTTTTTGTTTCAGTATATATCTGAAATGTTGGAGACAAACTTGTATTTTGCTTTTTAAAAGGTATGTAATGATTCAAAGGTATTTTTATCAGCTTAATGATTGTGTGGTTAAGGTTGGCGACATTGTATCGCATGCCACTCACTGATATTGGTTTGAATCTCATCTTGGACTTGAGTTATTTTCATGTGAGGAAGTTATCCAGCTGGCTAACAGAAGCTAAGTGGTTTTATATGGGTGCCCACCTGTGCCTAAAATAATGCATAAAGGAGGACATGAGGTCTTCTTCCACCTGTAATGCTAAAAAAGTCACCATATGCCCTTAACATGTTCAGTGTTAACATATAATCCAATGAAGTCTTTCAATTGTATATCAACAGGAATAGTTACCATCACTGTGCTTCTGGATTAGTTAATTAAAAGAACTAATTAACTTGCTATCTGGCAAAGAAAATGGGGAAATTTTTACAAAATTCTTTCAAGCATTGTTGATTAACAAAGAGCTTAGGATAGTTAATCAAATAGTCATTCGTGTAAAAAATATGTTATGCCTGCAGACACAAGGTTCATAAATGTATCAGTCTGTCCTTTTTGCTGAGGATTCAGCAGATTATTTATTAAATATAAATATATATAATATACTTCATATAGTAAATGACTTTCAATTTTATGTAGGCCAAGTGTAAAGGAGAAGAGATCAAAGGATAGAGCAGGTGGTGAGAAATCAGAAAAAGAAGAAACACCTGACCCTGACAAACCTGTCAAGGTATGTATAATCACGGTTTTTTATCTTACCCTAATAAGTTTTGATACTGGCTTGCTAGTGGTCGAGTGGGCAAGGCCATTATTTTTTAGCACCAGCCCCTCACCACTTTGGGTGGGTCTTTGGATTACTTTCATTTGACAAAGCTAATCTGCTATAGATGATTCTACTAAGGTGCCCTCGTTCTCTTAGAAAAATTCACAGAAGGGTGCTTGAGATTTTCCTCAATTAGTACAAATTGAAAGCGGCTATATTACCATTACAGTGCATTTTGGTATTAGATATGGAATTCAAATTTTCAAAAGATTTCACATTACCTACTTGATGGACATTAGCTAAGTGCTATTTCCACAATCATTGAAGGTAAATTCTTGAAACTTAACACATGCCTTTCAAGTTATATTTTTCGCTGACTGTCCAAGGCTGACAATTCTTGTGAGATATTTTCCTTCACTCATAATCAAGCAAATTCAGCAAGCTGTTAATCTTGTAGTTGAGGAGGTTGTGGGGGGTTCCATTAAAAATCAACCTGGTTTCTTACTTTATTGTGAATTTCTACTCTTAGAATTTGTCATTACAGCTATTTTTTCCTTCCAAGTTAATGTTTGTCAATCATATTACAGCACTGAATTTAGTTTTATTGCCTGCTCAATATTACGAGGGTGCTGTAAAAAACTTGTGTGTATGTAAACTAACATAGAATTTATATATTTATATTATTCAGTCATCTGGTGTAGAAAAAGAAGAGCGACACTGTCTGACGTTAGATGGTTTCCTACAGTATGTAGCCGACCAGGTGATGCAAGATGTGAGAGGCGTCTGGCGGGCAATACTTGCCTGTGGTTTTGATATACACTTTGAAAGGTACTTTGACTCGTTTAGAAAAAACTATTTATTTTCACCACGGTGCTGGCTTTGTTTTAGAGTGTATATCATGTAAAGGGCAGTTTATTGGTTCAATTTTTAGCTCACCTGTCACAAAGTGACAGGGTGAGCTTTTGTGATCGCTTTTCGTCCGGCGTCCGTCCGTCCGTCGTCCGTCCGTCGTCCGTCCGTCGTCCGTCCGTCCGTCCGTCCGTAAACTTTTACTTTAAATGACATCTCCTCATAAACCACTAAGCCAATTTCATCCAAACTTCACAGGAATGTTCCTTTGGTGGTCACCTTTAAAAATTGTTCAAAGAATTTAATTCCATGCAAAACTCTGGTTGCCATGGCAACCGAAAAAAAAAACTTTAAATATCTTCTTTTAAAAAACCATAAGAGCTAGAGCTTAGATATTTGGCATGAAACATCTTCTAGTGAGTGTCTACCAAGTTTGTTCAAATAAAAGCCCTGGGGTCAAAATTGGCCCCGCCCCGGGGGGGCATTGATTTTCCCTATATGCATATAGTAAAAACTTAAAAAATCTTCTTTTTAAGAACCCAAAGAGCTAGAGCTAAGATATTTAGCATGAAACATGTTCTAATGGGTGTCTACCAAGTTTGTTCAAATAAAAGCCCTGGGGTGAAAATTGGCCCCGCCCCGGGGGTCATTGATTTTCCCTATATGCATATAGTAAAAAAACTTAAAAAAATCTTCTTTTAAAGAACTCAAAGAGCTAGAGCTTAGATATTTGGCATGAAACATCTTCTAGTGAGTGTCTACCAAGTTTGTTCAAATAAAAGCCCTGGGTCAAAATTGGCCCCACCCCGGGGGGTCATTGATTTTCCCTATATGCATATAGTAAAAACTTAAAAAATCTTCTTTTAAAGAACCCAAAGAGCTAGAGCTAAGATATTTAGCATGAAACATGTTCTAATGGGTGTCTACCAAGTTTGTTCAAATAAAAGCCTTAGGGTGAAAATTGGCCCCGCCCCGGGGGTCATTGATTTTCCCTATATGCATATAGTAAAAACTTAAAAATCTTCTTTTAAAGAACTCAAAGAGCTAGAGCTTAGATATTTGGCATGAAACATCTTCTAGTGTGTGTCTACCAAGTTTGTTCAAATAAAAGCCCTGGGTCAAAATTGGCCCCGCCCCGGGGGTCATTGATTTTCCCTATATGCATATAGTAAAAACTTAAAAAATCTTCTTTTAAAGAACCCAAAGAGCTAGAGCTAAGATATTTAGCATGAAAACATGTTCTAATGGGTGTCTACCAAGTTTGTTCAAATAAAAGCCCTGGGGTCAAAATTGGCCCCGCCCCGGGGGGTCATTGATTTTCCCTATATGCATATAGTAAAAACTTAAAAAATCTTCTTTTAAAGAACTCAAAGAGCTATGGCTAAGATATTTAGCATGAAACATGTTCTAATAGGTGTCTACCAAGTTTGTTCAAATACAAGCCCAGGGGTCAAAATTGGCCCCGCCCCGGGGTCATTGATTTTCTTTATATGTGTTTAGCAAAAACTTTAAATCTTCTTTGAAAAAACCCAAATAGCTAGAGTTTAGATATTAAGCATGAAACATTTTCTAGTAAGTGTCTACAAAGTTTGTTCAAATAAAAGCCCTGGGGTCAAAACTGGCCCGGCCCCAGGGGTGTCATTGTTTTTAACTATATGTGTATACTAAAAACTTTAAAAAAATCTTCTTTTAAAAAGCCCAATGAGCTAGAGCTTAAATGTTTAGCATGAAATATCTTCTTATGGGTGGTCTACCAAGTTTGTGCAAATAAAAGCCCTTGGGTTAAATTGGCTCTGCAACGTTGGGGGGTGGGGGGTGGTGGGGTTGGGGGCCTATATACAGGTGAGCGACCTCAGGGCCATCATGGCCCTCTTGTTTACCAAGCTATGCCAAGAGTCAAATATTAAGTTCTCTTGATTTGATATTAGAATGTATCAAAATATGATTATTAGAATATGTAATTAGAAAGTTACTGACACATATTGTTCATGCTCAAAAATTGCATTTGAGGGATAAGTAGTTCTAAGGAACATGGGAATTAAGAAAGACAAGTAAGGTTTTCGATGCAACTTAAGGAAAAAAGATACAATTTTCCCAACTTTGGGATAAAAGATCTTGAAATTGTTAAATGATTTGTTGCCAGATTTCATGAAGTTGTTTGTATTTTATAAAATATGACTGCAATGGTAAATGAAATAAGTAGTTAATAACTAGTTTAGACGGTTTTCTTCTAATATTGGCTTGTGATGGCCCATCATCATGGGTGTAAAGCTATCTAATAAAATATTTTTATACAAAGTATATAAAATATATAAAATTATGTTGTCCAAAAAGAGTATTTACAAAGATTGCAGCTATTACTTACCATAACACACATGAATATTGTACATATAAACCAAATAAAATGTGTCTGAACAAAATATTATTATGCTGTTTTAAGAAGGGCTTGTTTTAATGGTTTAGCAATGATTTTGTGAATGTTTCGAGGAAAAATACAAAGATATATTTTTCATTTAGGTATTTTGGATTTTTTTTTCAAAATACAAACAGTAATCTTATGTACTACAGATGGCAGATATAAATATAGCTCAATACACTTTAAAGAGACTGCTTGTAGCATTATGTTGGATACATACATTTGTGAATTTGGGTGTTTTGAAAAAATGTGAAGTAAAGAATTGAAGTTGACTTTGTTTAGGTTTAAATGATTGTATTTAAAAGATATGGCTGATAAATGAATTAAATCACATAACAAATGAATTAAATCACATGTCAATCATTTTAGATCTGCATGTCTTGACAACAGTCAAGCTCAGCAAATGGCCAGACAGTGGACGTTAGACATGGACGCAGCTCTGACACAGTTTGTAAACTCATTCTGTCGTAAGTTAGCAGTCACACCAGCCAGGATACATCCTCATGAGATTAGAATTTCTGCGGTAGAACTTTCAAGTGAAAAATATTCTTGTCTGCAAGGTATAGTGTTAATAAGCTAACCCTTAATACTTTTTTGTTTATTTATAAAAATAGCTATATAATGTACCAGTCAATTGTTAAACTACAGGACCTTCACCTTTGTGGAATAGCACAGAAACTATGATTTTGATTTTCAAACTCCTATTAATGGCCTTCTCCTTCACCTAGTTTGAAAAGAAGGGAAACTATGACCTTTATTTTCCACATCCCGGTAAAAGTCCCTTTTCTACAGGGCCTTGCAGCTGGTAAATGCACCTGCTCTTCAAAGTTGGCTGACACACATACCCTGCTACTGCATTGACTAGGTAGTGCAGGGACAGTCTTAAAAAAGTCAAAACTTGGCACAATTCCCCTCCTCTCCCACGCCCTCTGCTGTTGATGGGCTGGCTTTGTTTACAATCAACTGGTGCTTCTAATAATGTCAGAAAGTTTCTTTATAAAGTCCTAAAGATATGAATAGAATATTGATTTTATCAAAGTTTATTGAAAACTTAAAAGAATCTAAAAAAAACACAAAAATTCTCAAGCACAATTTTAAAGGATTTTCCAGTTTATAAGTAATCTCTGACTCTGACACTTTATTAAGAATGAAATAAAGATAATTTATCTCTTTACCCTTAAATCTTTGCTTGTTATGGAAGTTGTAATGTTTTGCACATAACTATGGTTTGTTACTTCTATCTAATACAAATTCATTTCCCAATTCCATTAAGATACCGGAATGTGTTTATTTTAAGAAAAAAAGGAGCACCATACTGTTACATATAGTAAAATGTATCTCCAAAACCAAATTGTTTTATATATGATATATTATAGGAAACCACTTACTGCAAATTGATATATTTATGATCTTTTTGTATAAATTTAAAATACTTCATTTACAGAAAATTACCAGTACATTGATGATTAGTTAGTAAAAAGTAACCTTTTCAGTTCTACACATAATACTTAATAACTGGTTCCTGTTTCAGGAGTTCCTGTTGAGAGTTTAAGGCTGAGATTTGCTTTCCTGCAATCTCTGAACAACACCCTAGAAACATTTTTCCTGCCATTGATTGACCTGCGACCTTGGCAGACTTACAACAGGAGTACATCAGCACTGCTATCTAGAATAAGAGGACTACTTTTCTATGACACTAAGTGCGCTTTGATGAATAGAATCTTGAATGCAACAGCGAAGAGAAAACCGGACCAGGCTGCGCCGGAAATTACTCTTGATCCACTTGAAGATATTGGAGGTGAAGATAATTTTTTTTTGTTGATTGTTTTTGCTGAATGTTAAGAGTGAGCTGTTAGTTTAGGATGGATAATTTGTTGTCCTGGATATAATAATTTTTTCAACTGTGCTGGACAGATTTACTTCAAATTTTCTATAATTCATATTGACTGATTTTAAGCATTCAGGCTTTCCTCAATATTTTGTTTATATACCTAGCCTCATTTAATAGATGTGGAGCAAAAAAAAAGAAAAACGAACTACAATGAAAGACATAATTTCAAATACAAATACATATGTTCCTTAACTTAAATCTTTCGTAATTGCCACAAAAGCTAAAAATAGAAGGAAAAAAAATAAAGACAGGATTTCAAAAGGCAGTCACCATTGACTTGTTTATGTTTATCAAGTTGGTAACTTGATATTTGTTTTCAGTGTGCAAATTGTTACTGATTAAAAAAAATGAAAGAATTATTGGTAAAAGAGAAAGTTATGACTAAATTATTTTACTAGAGGTAAGGTAATATGGAAAGGATGAAAAGAAAAAGCCTGAGTATTAAGATAATTATGTAAAACTTTTCATTGAATTGAATTCACTTGACACCTCTCCTTTACTATTTCTTTATCTTTTCAGAGGAACAGGAGAGTTCTATAAACACAACATATTGTCAAGCGTATAGGCAGTTGTCTCAGATTCCATCTAGTCAGTTATGTGTTCGTCTTGCCTGTGGCGGTGATCCTACGTACTCCTTCAACGTTAAGTTTAGTGGTGAGGAAGTGCATGGAACTAGTAAGTTATTTAATTGATCTATTGTCATTACAATTGGATATTTTATAAGAAATAGAGGACATTGAATAAGTGTAGAATTAATACTGAATTAATTGAGCAAGTTGAATAATTTTATATTATTCAAGCCTCTCTCGAGCATGTTAATTTATTTAACAAGTTCAATTGTATATTGTACAGTGTATATCAAATTTTTATATTTAAAAAAGTAATTTGTTTTCATTGACAAGCTCATAGTTTAACACAGGTTATCTTTGTGCAATGCATATGACCTCACATCAAAATATATTATGCATTGTCATGCAATATGATTTTTACATAGTCTCAAAAGTAACGCAGGTATGTTAAAAAATGTATTTAGTAATGCTGAATATGAAATGTATTGTAAAGGGCTGTTTTGAATATATGTAAAGATCTGTTTGCTGTGTTAATGTATTGATGAATAGCTTTTGGAGCAAATTATAGAATCTCATATTAGAAGCAGCTGTCATACAGACGTTAATATTTGGCTTGGTATTAGGATCTGCACAGATTCTGCTAAATTATTACCTTAGAGCAGTATTATTCCCATCTGTGTCAAGAATCTGTGTTTGATTTTTCTTCTTACATATTATATATTTATTATATACATTAAAATTTAGCTGAAGGGGTCTAGTCTGACACAAACATAATTTTTTGCAGGTGGATCCTTCAGGCATTTTTTGTGGAAAATTGCACGGGAGATTCAAGACCCAATTTTGAACATACTGGTTCCATGCACTGGTGCTAACTATAGAGGAAGATGTTTAATGAAGCCTGGTTCAATGACAATATCAGAGGAGAAACTAATTATATTTCTTGGACAGGTATTTTTATAAAAATATTCATAGGATTTTTGTGATTGGTTTATTTTCTTGATAAATAGCATCTGTAATAAACATTAAATTAACAGAAGTGATTTGTATGAAAGTATTTTGAACAGGGACTTATGAATTCTTACAGAATTGCACAGACCTGTATAAGTATTAACTCATTAAGAGGAACCAGTCCTGAATTTAATTGTACACCTTTTTAGCTTGACTTTTTGAAGAATAGGGAGAGTTATTGTAGTCACCCAGGTGTCAGCGTCACACTTTGGTGAAGTTTTTGCGTGCAAGTTGGTATCTCCAAAAGTACTAAAAGGAATGGGTTGAAACTGCAAACACATATTTGAGAGCATAATAGGTGGTCCCTATCCAAGGCCCGTGACTTGAACATAGATTTTGACAGAGTTAAGGCCCTTTTTCATCTAAGAAAATTCTACTGTTTTCTCAGTGCTTGATAATAAAACAAGAGCCTTAAAAATGTAGTCTACATGTACATTATTAAGGCTCTTGTTTTATTATCAAGCACTGAGAATAGTCTAGCATGCTGTCCTACCAACAGCTCTTGTTAGTATTGCATGTGGAATAGCAACATCTTAGGGGAAGTCACTTTCAATAAGTAAAATTGTAATCTTGTAATGCAAGGCTCATATTTATTTTCTATTCTGTCTCTTTTTAAATAAGTTTATCTTTTAATCCTAGATCATTAATTTTGGTTCATAGTTTTGTCTGACACTGCATGTATATAATGACAGTTTTATTGGAGACACCTGCTTTAAATGAATTTACTACTTGTTTGACAATTTATTTGAATATAATTCATCATAAACTATACATGAAAATCAAAATGACAATCTTATAATATGGCTATGAATACTTCATATTTTATTATTATTTTGAGTTTTGTTTATAGTTTTGTACAACTTCAAAAGCAGTAAAACATTCCATTTGACCTCTTAAGTTTATACAAAATTTATTTCTGTTGTACTGTGAAGGAAGCTGGTATAAGCTTATAGACACACTCTCAGAACCTTTCCTGAAACTATCCAGTACTGAGCAATGTGCTTAAAGTTTCTTGCTCAAGGAAACAAGGGATTGATTGCCATTTACAGGTTTTTTACCCATACATCTAGAAATCTTTAGATTACAAGTCCAATATGTTCATCGCTTGGCCATGTTGCCTCTATTTAAGACCTCTTGTTGATTGGTAATTATTTTGTTTATTTTTAGTTACTTGGAATCACTATTCGGGCAGATATTCCTATAGGATTAGACTTGATGTCCTCGTTTTGGAAATCTCTGGTTGGTGTACCTTTAGATACTGTCGTGGATTTAAAAGATGCAGATCAAATAACCTATAGCTACTTGAAGAAAATTGAAATGGTAAGTACCATTATAATGAGGAATGTTTATAGGGAGAGATGTTTGATTTTCAAGAATGCGATATTTGTATTCAAAATTATAGGCAATTCAGAAGTGAAGATTATCACTTCAGTGCTAAAATGGGTTAACTCCTATTAAATTTAAGAGGAGTTAACCCATTACAGCACTTGAGTGGTATATGTCATAAATGTATTAATATAATAGATGTAACATTCATGATAGAAGTAGATTTGTTTGGAGAGAATAATGCGGAATACTTAATGCATTTTATGACAGAGGGATTGAGGTCATTAAAATTGAATCAATTTCAAACAATCAGAAGCTGCAAAAATAACAAGCCTAAAAAATAAAAAGGTAACGAAATGTGTAATAAAAGATCTTTTCATAGAGAAATTTGTATTTATTGCCTTTTACTTTACTCTATTAACATTTTATGAAAATAGATAATTAAACAAGTAAGTACATGACTCTAAATGTTGTTAGTGACAATATAATCTGCCCATGCAGCCATTGCAAACCAAAATCATGACCTGCACTGTTGGCTTTTCATTCAGAAATAAGTTTTTTTAAAAAATCCCTAAAAGTGATGAATGGTTTTGTCCAGATTGAAATATGGACAAGTCAATATAAAATAGATAGTATGGTTAGGATTAAATAATTTTATCCATTTGATAGTAAAGAAATTTCAAACCTTTTTGGTACTGTTCTTCAGGTTGAGAGCGAAGGGGAGTTGCTTGCCCTTTGTGCAGATGTTTACCCAAGATTTGTCTACCCTAGTTTGTCAGGAGAAGAAGTTGAGCTTGTTCCACATGGAAGACACATTGTAGTGAGGTGATTAGTCATTCTTAAGTTGTTTGTATTGTATTCTAGGTTAAGATTGACATGCAGTATTTGACAGACATAGTAAACAAAATTAACTTGTGTTTTATAGCTTAGAAAAATAATATTTAGCTTCTAGTGTTTGGATGGGGAAAAAAAATTGAACTTAAGGGAAGACAATTATGATGTGTATATATGATTGCATATAGCTTATTCTTTGGACTAAATTGCTATAAGGTGTCCGCCCACTCAATAGGGAGAGCATTGGATTAGTATTCAATCGGTTGCAGGTTCAATCCTTAGTGGCGGGTAAATTTTTCTTTGACAATTTATTTGACATTTTGGTCATTTATCTCTCATAGGTTCAGTAAACAATGGGATAAGTAGCCTGTCACTTGATAAGAAATAAAAATTGACTTGTTAATCTTTAAGAGACTAAAGCTTGTTAGATGGACTGTCTTCCAGGATTTGACCTAAAAAAAAAAATGTTTACAATTGGCAAAAAAAACCACCCAAAATAGCAGCACAATCAGATTTTCTTATTAGTCATATAACACTTTCCTCAGAATTGTAATTTTCTGGTACCATGTACTATCATATCATTTGTGCATTATAGCTGGGAGAATAGACAACAGTATATCAATGCCATACGAGAACTACGGAAACGAGAACTGTTGAACAGACAGAGGATACAAGCATTAAGGTCAGGACTGGCAACAATTATACCACTGCAGCTACTCCTGATAATGCTCACCTTTAGATATGGAAATGAGGACATGTGGACTTCCATATGTAAACATTGAATTTTTGAAGGTAACTATGTTTGTCATATTAAATGTCCCTATTGCAAAAATTGCTCCCCATTTTAGTTAAAGAAAAAGGCTTATACTCTGAAAATCGATAATAAACAGAAGTTGATAATAAGACCACCTCCTATAATCAGCGAATCTCGATAATAAACCACCATTTTCTTACAGTCAAAATTAACTTGAAAGTAAGCCTCTAGCTTTTAAACATTACCCTGTTACTGATTTTTAGTTGTAACATATTGATAATGAACAGCACAAAATGATATATACATCATATTTAAATGTTTATGTACAGTATATCAAGTTGAATTTAAAAACTATATTAGATATAAAGTCATTGAATTTAATAGATTCAGTTTAAAAGCTAAAAACGCCTAAAGTCTCCCATATTGATCATAAAGTGCAAACTGATAATTTGTAATAAGAAATAAAAAGAAATTTAAACAACAACAACACATAGTTTTTCAAAATATTATTATTTTGTTATCAACGTGTTTCGGTGAACAACACCTTCATCAGGATTTTTTTTTTTAAATAAGTAATTTGTGATTTTTCAGGCCCATACAATGTACCAAGTTGGACTAATGGAGACAGACAGACACATACAGTATTTCTGGAACACCCTGGAGAACTTGAGCCAAGAAGATCTGTCTTGTTTCATCAAATTTGCATGTAATCAGGAAAGAATTCCACAAACCTGCCCTTGTAAAGATGGAGGGGCAGACACTGCCCATGTACCACCATATCCGATGAAAATAGCACCCCCAGATGGTCAAGGTAAGATTCCATGCAAATCAATGTAGTTTTGTTTTTTCCTTTCAAATCAGTAATGATTTTCCCAGTTGAAACATATTTTTTTTCTTTTACAAGAAATAACCAGCACATTTTAGTACAACTTCTTGAAAAATAGAAGATTTGTCATTTTCAAGAAGTTAATATCAAGTTATGTATGAGATCAGATTATGCACATAGCCTAAAATTAGTTTTGTTTAATGGCTCTACTTTAGTTTTAACAATTTTGTTTCTTTCATTACGATATTGTTACAATTGTGAAGTTGGTTATCATTCAAAACAGACAGTAATGTCAAAGGTCATAAATGAGCTACCTTGTTTATTTCTTATACTTGTAAAGATAATTCTTGTTTACCAGGACTTGTATTTTATTGTTTTTTGTTGTTGTTTTTTGTACAGGCACACCAGATCAAAGATATATCCGAGTAGAGACGTGCATGTTTATGATTAAACTGCCACAGTATTCAAGTGAAGAGATTATGACGCAGAGACTTATGTATGCCATACATTGCCGAGAAGATCCTTTGAGTGGATAGTGAGGACGGAGGGCACTTAGTTCCGAAGTTATATTTAGATTATTACATTTGTTGCCATAGTGATACTCCCAAAGTTAACCCTTAATGTTCTAAGTTTGAGTAATTGACTTGTCTGGAATTCACTAAGAACATTTATAAAAGTGGAACAAACAATCAACACAGGATAAGTTTTAAGGTTTTATCTAATGATGATAACCAACGTTTTCACTCTCAGAGTTGTCATCAGCGTTATAAAATATCACATGGAATTTGGTAAAATCTGGGACATAATATAACTGAACAGATATTGAATATTTATAATTATGAACATTTTATTATAGTGTTAATTTATTTATATAAATCATGCTAGATTACTTTTAGTGAAGTTTTACAAAACATGTTACATTAGTAACTAAGCGTATTATAACTTGTCAAAATATTTTTTTTCCTATTTACTTGCAGATGTTGACCATTAGGCAAAAAAGAGCCCAAAAACTTATTGCTTTTGTCCAATTTTTGAATTAAATTCTGTCAGTATGCAAGTGTTGTATTTTTCAACATAGTCAAGCATTATTTTAAAAATGTTATTTATTGTTGTAGAATTGTACGAAATTATGAAAATGTTTAATTTTGTGACATTTGATCTATGTTAGAATCGCAAAAAAAAAACTTTTGAAATGTGATAAGAATTAAGAAAAAAATTTAAGATTTTTCTTTCGACATAACTAATTTGCAGTAAAATATTTTCTAAGATTTCCTTACATTGGGTTAATAATGGAATTGATGAGAAAACTTTTTTCGGAGGCTGTATTGATACAATTTGATCCTCGTAAATTTGCATAATAGGCATATTACTTACCGTAGGTTAAATTTTTTCCGCCAGTTCTTTTACAAGTGTATTACAAAGCCATCAATGATTAAAAATAACTGTGTAAAACAGAGGGATAGAAATAGTTGAAGCATTGTTTTATAAACATTATGAACAAAAGGACAAACAGCAGGAAAAAAATACTGTCATTGATATCACATTGTATCACAAAGCAGGGTATTTGGTGTCATATTGACCCAATCTGGTCTTTATTAAATGATATATTAATATTTTTTGATTGGTGTTGTATGGATTAAGTCACTTTATCTTGTCTATTGTGTTAAGATATATAAACATTTTCTACTATATCACATAAATTTACTGTCCCTGTGTGATCTTTACTTATGTCTGTAGATTTGTTTTTTTTAGCTCACCTTGCACAAAGTGCAGGTGAGCTTTTAGGATGGCCAACCAAATGGCGTCCGTCGTCTGTCGTCCGTCCACATTTTAAATATTCTAAGGACATCTTCTATGATACCGCAAGGCCAATGTTAATGAAACTTGGCAGGAATACTCTTTGTATGAAGCTCTATCAAGATTGTTCAAAGAATTCCATTTCATGCAGAACTCTGGTTGCCATGGCAACCGAAAGAAAAAACTTAAAAAATCTTCTTTTAAAGAACCCAAAGAGCTAGAGCTAAGATATTTAGCGTGAAACATCTTCTAATGAGTGTCTACCAAGTTTTTTCAAATAAAAGCCCTGAGGTCAAAATTGGCCCTGCCCCAGGGGGTCATAGATTTTCCCTATATGCATATAGTAAAAACTTAAAAAATCTTCTTTTAAAGAACCCAAAGAGCTAGAGCTAAGATATTTGACATGAAATATCTTCTAGTGAGTGTCTACCAAGTTTGTTCAAATAAAAGTCCTGGGGTCAAAATTGGCCCCTTCCCGGGGGGTCATTGATTTTCCCTATATGCATATAGTAAAAACTTAAAAAATCTTCTTTAAAAGAACCGTAAGAGCTAGAGCTTAGATATTTAGCATGAAACATCTTCTAGTGAATGTCTACCAAGTTTGTTCAAATAAAAGCCCTGGGGTCAAAATTGGCCCCTTCCCAGGGGGTCATAGATTTTCCCTATATGCATATAGTAAAAACTTAAAAAATCTTCTTTTAAAGAACCCAAAGAGCTAGAGCTAAGATATTTAGCATGAAACATCTTCTAATGAGTGTCTACCAAGTTTGTTCAAATAAAAGCCCTGGGGTCAAAATTGGCCCCGCCCCAGGGGGTCATTGATTTTCCCTATATGCATATAGTAAAAACTTAAAAAATCTTCTTTTAAAGAACTCAAAGAGCTAGAGCTAAGATATTCAGCATGAAACATCTTCTAGTGAGTGTCTACCAAGTATGTTCAAATAAAAGCCCTGGGGTCAAAATTGGCCCTGCCCCGGGGGTCATTGATTTTCCTTATATGTGTATAGCAAAAACTTAAAAATCTTCTTTGAAAAAACCCAAATAGCTTGAGTTTAGATATTATACATGAAACATCTTTAAGTAAATATCTACAAAGTTTGTTCAAATAAAAGCCCGGGGGTCAAAACTGGCCCTGCCCCAGGGGTGTCATTGTTTTTAACTATATGTGTATAGTAAAAACTTAAAAATCTTCTTTTAAAAAACCCAATGAGCTAGAACTTAGATGTTTAGCATGAAGCATCTTCTTATGGGTGTCTACCAAGTTTGTTCAAATAAAAGCCCTTGGGTAAAAATTGGCCCGGGGGGCTATATACAGGTGAGCGACCTCAGGGCCATCATGGCCCTCTTGTTTATTCTTGACATTTACATTTGCTTCAGCTTTGACATTTTGTCACTTGGGGCTTAAGTTATGTCAATTGTTACTAACTTATGCACCATTTATTCAGTAAAGTTTAATGTCTTATCAAAAGTCAGTGGTTCTACTTGGGAGTTAGCTTGTGCCTGAAATAATGTGTGGAAGGTCATCTGAGATCCTGAAATAATGCACAGAAGGTCACCTGAGGTCATGAAATAATGCACGGAAGGGCATCTGAGGTCCTGAAATAATGCACAGAAGGTCCCATGAGGTTCTGAAATAATGCACGGAAGGGCATCTGAGGTCCTGAAATAATGCACAGAAGGTCCCATGAGGTTCTGAAATAATGCACAGAAGGTCAACTGAGATCCTGAAACAATGCACAGAAGGTCATCCGAGGTCCTGAAATAATGCACCGAAGGTCACCCGAGGTCCTGAAATAATACACTGAAGGTAACCTGAGGTCCTGAAATAATACACTGAAGGTAACCTGAGGTTCTGAAATAATGCACCGAAGGTCACCCAAGGTCCTGAAATAATACACTGAAGGTAACCTGAGGTCCTGAAATAATACACTGAAGGTAACCTGAGGTCCTGAAATAATACACTGAAGGTATCCTGAGGTCCTCAAATAATGTACAGAAGGTCACCTTAGGTCCTGAAATAATGTTACAGAAGGTCACCTGAGGTCTTGAAATAATGCACTCTGAGATCCTGAAATAATGCATGGAAGGTCAACTGAGATCCTGAAATAATGCATGATAGGGCACATGAGCTCTTCCTCCGTTAGTAAAGCTGGAAAGTTGCCATATGACCTTCACTGTGTTGGTGCGACTTAAAAACCCAATCAAAATAAACAAAAATTATCAGAAATTTATAAAAGGTTTTGTCTGCATACTTTCATTGTAAACAAATTTGTTTAAAGCATTGCAGAAATTCAGACAAAAGAATGCAGTGTTTTCAGACAGGGTTGTTTGAAGACATATAGAATGCTTAAACTGTATAATAGTAATACTGTAGATTATGTAGAGATGCTGTCAGTACAGATAAGATATATATTACTGTATATTTATGTTATTTAATGGGATCACCATGTTCCTGAAATGCCTCATATTGCTGTAGAAGCATTACTTGAATAAATCAGAGATTTTAGTTATAGAAATTGTTAATTAGAATTAGCCATTAAGAAAACAATTGAGCCAATTATACCCAGATATTTATGTATGAATGTAGTATAATATATAATAATATATTTATGACTATTAGTTTTGCCTGGTTGTCTGTTCCATAGTTAAAAGCCGGAAATGCACGCCATATTGTGTGGCTTTAAAGTCCAATTTGAAAATCGTATTGTTTTTGGGTATGGGCAAACTTGTCTCCATATTTCCTCTCAACCTTTTATATTTATACAGTTTAACCCTTTCGCTGCCAGAGAGTTATTGTTTTACTGATCACCTATTTGCCAGAAGGTTTTCTGAGAAATTACTATATTTTTAATTAATATAATTATTATTATTTATTATAATAATATATGTTTCCAAATCTGTGAGTATAATAATAATTATTGTCGATGGTATAATTTTCTTTATATTTATTATTATTTTTATTATTATTATTATTAATTTATTATTATTACTATTATTATTATAGAAACGGCTAAAGCCGTCAATATGGCAAATACGCCGAAAATAACGGACGGCTTAATCCGTCCCTATGGCAGTGAAAGGGTTAAAATATATCAGCAATTAAAAATTTAGATAAAAAAATCTTGTAAAAATTGTAATCAATATTGTATGGATAGTTTCCTTTAATCACAAATATCACAATGAGCTTATCAAGGACACATTAGTGTACAAGTATTTCTCAAGTTTTTTTGTGTTTTTTTTGAAAATAAATCTTTGAGTTGTGCTTTATTTCCTCACTGCTTTGAAATCATTTCAAATGAATGAATGCTAGATAAATTCTAACAATTTCCTTTAATGCATGTATGTATATTTGGAGGACATCATCTGGCCAAGTATACCAACATAATTATAAAAAAACATGTCACAAACTAAGGGGGAATAATTTGGTGAGGTGGATCATTTCTGTAGGGTATATGTAAAAAAACTAACAGGGGTCAGTGTACTCTTCAATTTGATGATGAATTTAATCTCTGGATAACTCTCTGAAGGTAGATGGTTATCCTAGTGCCTATTTTTAGTAGTGTTAAATCAGTGAATGGACAGGAAGTCAAATGTCGTCTTTTTCCAACAAAACTGGAAAGTGACCATATTAAGTGTCAGAAAAGGTCATCTTTCTTCCCAGGTGGTACAAAACTTAGAATAAAGGTATTTATGCTGTTTGAAAATACTCGTAATGTTTCTGTGATAACTTGTAAAGAGCTGAATGTCTATTCTTTTTTTTTCAAAAGAACTTGAACATACATGTAGTAAATATGGTTGCTATGACAACAGTAGTTTATTAGAAAAAGTGCTACATGTATTTGAATTGTTTACAAATAGATAGATATATAAAAAGGTGCTTATTTAAGACATTATGCATATTGGTGAGCCATGTCAACATGGGTGGTTACCATGGAAAGTGATTGACAAAATAGTAAAAGTTTAAATGAGTACACAGTGGCATATTAAGTGACACATTTTTTTCATAACTTAAAACTTCAAATGAATATTAAGGACTAAAAACATATATCATCTAAGTGCAGGAACAGGGTAACTTCAATTGTAAAACAATAGGAGTTTACCGATTATTGCACTTTGGTGACTATGTATATGCTAATGTTTTTCTATTTGTTTAAGAAATACTGCTTGACATTAGGGGACATAAATTACTTATTACAGGCATGATTTGTATTGTTGTGGTTTTTTTACTGACATCAAAAAATGGGAGGCTTTAAGCTTGTTGCAGATGTCTAATTTATGGTATATTTGTATTAAGACTGTAGAAATTATTTATTAACTGATTTGCTGAATAGATAATGTTTGAATATTTTGGTATTTGCTTGTCAGCAAAATGTTATTTAATGCTTATTTGTTGAATAAATGAATGAATGTTGCTTAAATTTTGATATGCTTCAAACTATTGTTATGGAATAGCATAGAATATTTGTATACCCAAGTTTTAAAGAGGTGCTTTGAATGAAAAAAGAACATGCATGTACAGTAGAGCAGTGAGAAAGTCCACTAACAAATAACGCAATGACACCCTACTATATACATATATATATGGATTTTACAAGGTTGGTGGCAAATATTGCTTTTTGTCAGAAGGTCAAAAGACCTATAATACTTAGTTGTCTACATGAAAAATCCTATTGATATTTTACTACTTAATTAGTTTGATACAAAAATCAGTAAATCAAAATCTATGACAATCAAAATCAATGATATTGGAAGCTTAATAAACTGCTATTAAGATGAACACAAAGCTAGGAGAACAGAAAAATATATAATTATTTTGAACACTAAGAAAGACACTAATGGGTTTGAAACTTGGTTTGGATTCTTTGTCAATCCAGTGAAATTTTAACGGCCATCTCTACTGTACTGTACAGTACTGTACTCAACTGTACTGTCCTTGCACTGTACTGTATAACTGTACTGTAACATTTATTCTTATCTGAGTTAAAGCAAGTATGGCCCTCTTAGTTATCACCTGTATATTTGCCCTTTGTTCTATCACTATTACCATGTTAAGGTAGATTCCAATTGTGTGTTATTTTATGCTTGGTGTATATTTTGTCTGTATCTATAGATGTAATATTATTATTATTATCACTATTTTTGGTATATAATTTTTGTTGTTGTTAGTTGTTATGATACTTAAGATTGTTGTTCACTTTAACGATTCAATTGTATAGATAAAGTATGATAATCTGGCATTGTGTAGAATTGATGAGATTTGATTGGTTAAAAATGAATCCTGAAGAAGAACGGTGATTTTATTACTTATGAAGAAGGTAGCTACAATAATGATATCCAGCCCATAACACGTCTCAGCTCACTTCTTTTTTTTAGACCTAATTAGGGTATTGCTAAAAGAAAATGTTAATCCTGACCCTTCTTGAACAATAAGGATACAGAAAGATCAAAAAAGCACATAAATATCTGGAAAAAAGTGATCATGTACTTGAAAAATATCTACCAAAATGGTAAAGATTTGCAGCTCTTTTCTCCATTTGAAAATTCCTTTGAGTAAACAGATTTTTTTTTATCTTTCTTGTGAGTACTGGCCAGTTGTTGTAATCAACTGTATCCAGAGTGTGATTTATATGCCTTTTTCTGCAACTAGGGAAAATACTAGATGTAAAATACTTGAAGTATAGATCCTAGATAATTTTTAGCTGGACTATTAGAAGAATTTGGTTACCACGGCATCGGTGTCAGCGTCTCACTTGGGTTAAGTCTTTGCATGCAAGCTGGTATCTCCAAATTATTGAAGGGAATGAGTTGAAACTTCACGCCTTTGTTCTCTGTGATGGTCATATTTGGTGGACACTGGACACATACCTCTTGAGTTTCCTTTAAACGAAGTTATGGCCCTTTTATTACTGTCAAGCACTGAGAATAGTCGAGCACACTGTCTTGTGGACAGCTTTTGTTATAAATCTAATATGCTTATTGTACTTTTAGCTGGGTGACAAGGCATAGTTGTTAGAATCTTTACATAAAGTAAATAGTTAGCCTGTGAACTGATCAAAAAGATTCCATACACGTCTGAGATTAACATGTTTTGTAAGAAATTTAAGAAGAATGCAATGTCCAAATGTCATATTACCATATAGTTTCTATGCATGTAATATAGTGATACTGTGATTGTTAGATCTTGTGATAAAACTGCGTAATAAAATACACCATAGAAAAAAAGTTCTATTTATTTTTTCAAATTCACGTGGGGCACAAAAATGGGCACAATTTAATGAAACACTTGGCATTTGTTACAAACGTGAAGTAACACCTATGTAATGCTTTTAAAGTCAGCAACATCCAATTGCTTCAAATTGGTATTTCCATAAGTCCATACCAAATGTATTTGGTACCTCCATGGGAACTGTAGAATGACTATCGAACCGACTTTCTATGTAAGTGATGCTTATCCGGAAAAGTAAATTTGTTCTGCATCCACACACGATTTTATATTGAAAATTCAAAATTTTTCCAACATTCAAGAGAGATAACTTTGTCAACCACAACCAAATTCAAACTTGAACTGCTTATTCGTAAGATGTATCTATATGTCAAATTTGAGTTGAATGTGTACAACCATTGGGGAGATAATGAACGGAAACTAAAAATTTCTGATTTTTTTTCAAAGTTCAAGACGGATAACAGCTACCTTCAAACCATGACCAAATTGGAACTTGACCAGTGTTTTCTTATGACATATCCATATGTTAAATTTTGAGTTGAATATGTACAACTGTTAGGGAGATAAGAACGGAAACTGAAAATGTCCTTCTATTTTAAAGCTAAAGGGGCATAACTCTGCCAAACATCATCGAATCAAGACTATATTCGAATTCGACCTGCCCATTCAATTGACGTATTCATATGTCAAATTTGAGTAGAATGTGTAATACTGTTGGGGAGATAATGAACAGAAACTGAAATTTCATTTTATTTTCAAAGTGAAAGTGGTATAACTCTGCCAAATATCATCGAAACATGACCAAATTCGAACTTGACGCTGCGCATTCCCTTAACGTATCCATATGTCAAATTTGAGTTGAATGTGTAGTACAGTTTGGGAGATAATGAACGGAAACTGAAAATTTCATCAAGGGGCATAACTCTGTCAAAAATCATCGGACCATGACCAACTTCGAATTTGACCTGTATTTTCTCATGATATATACATTGTACATATGCAAAATTTGAGTTGAATGTGTGCAACCGATACTAAGATAATGAATGAAAACCGATGATGACACTATATGCCCCAGCCATTTTATGGCGGGGGCATAAAATATGAGCTAATATTGTAAAATGTTCACATGCCCGTTCCTAAATAGTAAACAGTAAACAAGTGTAAACCGTGACACATTGATCACATGAAAGTTTGCCAATATTTTAAATAAAAGATATCTATATATAATTTAGACTACATGATCTTTTATTTAGAAATAAGATTGTTGAATTGTTATACTTGTATTGTAATTTAAAATTGTTATAAGGGAAAGAACTCTTTATAAAAACTGTTTAATTTCATAACGTGTCTCTGATACTTTCCAAAAGGAGATTACCCTTTTACATTGTCAATAATTCAGGGTATAACAGTTTTATTGTTCGATTTATACTGCTCAAAATTTTTTAAGGATCATCTTTTACATTGCAGAATTCAGTCCTATTATCATCATAATTATTAAAATCATAATTCCGCTAACGATACACCTGAACTAGGACCTCATAATCGTGTACTTAAGTTATCTATTTGCCATGTACACCTTGCACGATAAGCACGTGGAAAAGCATACCCATAGAAATTTGGTGTTTTATGGCCATGTGCTTTCACTTAAACAAGCAGCAAGACTTCTCTCGTTTTATTGTAAAACTGTGTTCTAAATTAACAAACTATGGCAAAGCGACAGGTTAGACGTAGTCTTAGTAAAGTGAGATGAACAGGGTTTGGAATGTTGGAGGCTGGCCGTTCACAAAGGCATGTTTGCCCGTGTTTCAATGGGTTATCACAGAAGCGTTGTCTCCAGGATATGGAACCGATTCCAAAAATGACTGGAAATGTCTTGCAGGGCCACGTTCAGAGGTAAGTTACGTTCCAACGACTCAAGTCTAGGACCGATTTTTATTGTCCGTCAGGCCCAGGCGCAAACGGTTCTTTCGAACGCTACGACCATACGCCAACTACTTTCAGAATACAAAACTGGTTGTGCGTGTAAGCACACAACTGTTAGAAACAGGTTGGCATGACGCTGGGTTGAGGTCACGGGAGGCCAGCAATTTTCGCATTCCCCTTTGGACACAAAAACGTCATATTCAAGAGCGTTTGCAATGGGCCCAGACTTCATGTTTCACATGGGACAGTTTAATGATTAGACACCGGTCCTCTTCACTGATGAGTGAAGGTTTTGTGTGAATTCA